TAAAATGACGATCCTTAATGTTGTATTAATGATTGACTTATACATTTGTCTTTAATAATATTTAAGAATATTTAACTTCGTCTACACAAAAATATTCTTTGAGAGTCTTTTGCTAATAACAAAAAAGCAGAAACGAAAAAAAAATTGTATTCCTCCGGTGGCGTTTGAATCGTTTGAACGTTAAAAAAAGAAGTATACCGCAAGCGAGACTGTATCGACGTTTTTCTGACGACTGTGATAAATCGTTGGATTTGGAGAAATATCGACTGCCAGCAGTTGCAAGCTTTCGAAATGCCGATGGTTCTTTCGATAGGTTACGTGGCCTAGGTTAAAGCTTTTCGTCCTTGCACTTGCTGCAAACATTCCCTTAGTGGCTTGTGGTCTGTGCGATGTGATTCTGGCACAGTCTCAAAGGGAAACACGTTACAAGAACGGTATCAGAGCAATTTTATCCGTGGGGATCCATATTTTCGTATATTTTATTACTTTATCTGATCTTATCGGGTACTTTGTTTTTGAATGCTGTTCGTGACAGATAAAAGTATTATTTGTGTCATGAGATACGATTGGTGTATTAATCTCTTGTGTTTATGAATTCTTTTTATCAAGGTAATAAATTAAGCAGTCGTGTTTCATTGCTGACAATGAGTTGGAATTCTGAATTTCTATTTCAGAATTTCATTTCCTCTATGTAAAATTAGGGGCGATTCAAGTGGAAAAAAGGTACTCAATTTACTTTACAGAAGATCGAATTTTATTATCTAGAACACTTTTTATTGTATTACGTGGAACATTTCGGTGTGCGAAGTAGGCAAAAAATAGCGCAAATAAGAAGACCACGTAACTAGATTTTCCGCTTCTTGAGCGCACTAAATCACCAGCGGCTATAAATCTTGAAAGTTATGCCAGGCGATCCTGATTACCTCTCTGCCTGCGGTTCGTCTTATCATTATGGATAAAACCGAATCAAACCAGCGCGTTTTCGGTAATTTGCATAACATTGATCATACGATGCAGGTGACGGAAAGTTTGATTAATTTTTCCTTCCATCTTCCGATTAGTTCGTATACAAAGCTTAACTTTGGAAATTAATTATTTCTTATTCTTAATACCTAATTAGGAATACTGTTATTAAATACTTAAATTGATGGGCGATAAATAAATGTAACGAAATATTGTGAAAATAATAAATAACGTATATTCGAAATAAAAATATCGTACATTTTTAGTGTTAAATACAATATCAGAAGTACGATAGAGAATTTTTCCAATGCAATTGTTCGAAAAGCCCGAGGAAACGCCCGATTAATCCCGGTTGTCATATCCCTCTGCCATGTAATCTGTGCATTCACATGGTGATACGTATTGTCAAACAGTGATACGTGCACAGGAATATAATTAAACGGGCTTGTAATTCTGAGTTTCCCTGGTGAGAGATACGTACAAGCATTATGACAGGCAAACCGAGAAGCCAGAACTCGTATACGCTTGCGATAATTATTTGTGACGTACGAATGAAGTCTAACGTTCCCACATATTCCCGGATGCACTTTGCAATCGTGATGCATTTAATGGAAATGATTCTATCAAACTGCTTTGGAAATTAAAGAATTTATACAGATATGTTTGATGAAATTTCAAATGGTGCCTGACGTGAAATTTAGTTTCATAAAATTATGGCTGTAATAAAAATGAAAGAGTTGCAATTTATTGTATTACAACGGTGGTTTTGCATTTTACATTCACAGTTCTGCATAATTGTGCCCTGTTAACTGAAAATTAACAGTTCGTATAAATTCACGTTCACCGATGGAAAAACGTTCGCATGAAATTCACGTACGATAATAAATTCGAAAGGGGTAATCTTGGCAATGGCGAGTTGTAACATATTTCAACCCTTTTCTGCTGCAACACATTTCAACCGGAAATTTTACGTGTGGTTCTTCGAAAATTCGTTGCTCATAAAATCAGAGACGCTATGTATCTTGATCGAAATTCGTGTCACTCTTCACGCGCCATCTATCACGATTCACGACGACAGGACACGTTGTCTCGAGAGGATTTCCGGTTGAAACCTTGTCCTCGCTGGAGTTCACCAACTACGTATACGTACGAGCGTGTTTCGTTGGAAAATTCAATTTTTCCAGGATTTGAAAAATATAGAAATATCGAAAAATATTTTAGTTTTCGTAGATTTCTTTATTTTAACATTTCAAGTGACCCACTCTGAAGTGGATACAATTTTAAAATAAAGAAATTTGACGAATTTAAAAGAATTTATTTTTTACTTCAATTCAGGCTGTATTCTGCATCTAAATTAACTTTCTAGGTAATCCTGGAAGACTGCGTTTAATCAATCGTCGAAATTTGAATACTTGACTTTCAAGAGCAAATGGGTTTTACGTGTAACAAGAAATTCTCTTTTATTAGAACTTCCTCCTTGACTCGTTGACCGTCGCAGAAATTCTATACGAACTGTTCCGTACCGTACTTCGTTGCACTTTTTCGTGCTTATTTTTCGCTTTTGGTGCATATGGGATTTTACTGGAGACCCTTTCGATGGAAACTTTTCTCTCCCAGCTTTAAAGGGAACATTTTAATGCTTATTTCTTTTTGTTCCAGCTGGATAGGAGATTTGAATTCACAGTTTTTTTAGTTGAAATTATTTTTCTACAGCTTCGAAATGAAAATTTGTTATTGTTATGTAAAATGAAGACAGTTATATTGATAATGAAAATCGATCCAGCTATTTAAATAGCATAGAACGTAGATTTATTTAACTGTACTAGAACTATACTAGAGTAGAACAAATATTTTTGTGACTTACTGTAGTTCTTGAAGAACTCAAGTGTCAAAAGCTCGAAACAAAACCGTCTGTTTCCCAGCAAGACAGCACGATTTCCGGTATCTGACTGGTTTCATCGACTATAATCTGTTCTCTCGCATAAATTGCACGCCAAGAATATTTTGCAACAGTTGAACTTAACTTAACCCAGTTTGTCTTGATTTCATACTGCATTATAAATGTTAATTTATGCGAGCTCCGAAGATTTTCTACTCACGGTTTTGTCGCTAATTATTATAATTTAAAGCTGTTTCAAGATGGAACTATAATATCTTACCATTTCAACCTTTCAATTATTGAATATTTTACAAATAAATTTAAAATTTAAAAGTTTATAGCGAATAAGCGATTCATTAACATTTTATTTCTGGTTGCAAACAAGATAACAGCTAGTTTCGTAATGACAACAGCCAGTTTGCTTGAAACTGATTCCAACGCCTCGTTGAAGTTACTTAATGCCTCCATGTGACTTTAAGACGATTATGAAACTGCTGGTAAACACAGGCTCGGAGAAATAGCGCGATAAAACGGTTGCTGTTTTATTTCGTTGAAGAAGCTTGCTAATTAGTACCACGTTCGAAATGCTTAAGCTCTTCTGTATTTAAGGTTACTGGAAAAATATGGAATACGTGATGGCTTTATCGATCCAGCTGCTAATTCAGCGAAGGAAATAAGTCCTCGATTAAATCTGACGGTAATTCATTTATGGAAAATCGATGTTCGTTAGTGTGTTTTAAGAGAAGTTTCGAGTATTTGTGGAATTTTCTTGTTGAGAAGATTAAATTCCATGTATTTTACAATTTGGAAATTATTCAGAAGCGAAGATTAGAGTTTCAAAACTTATAAAAATTATTGAAGTATGTACGTCAAGTTTCCCTTATTAACTGTGAAGTTTACTTTTTAATAAAGCTGAATTCTTGCTTCAATATCAATATGCCTGCTCCTCGACATTATGATTTTGATAAACAAAAAAGATGAAACGTCGAAAGCATTCGTTGAAGAAAACAAGTAGCGAACAGACACCACCTGAATTCGTTATTAACCAGCGTTACATTCACATTCTACTATCATAACTCTATTATTTTACTAAAAAGAAAACGGGCAGGGATAAGGAATACCAGGTGGCCTAGATTTAACACCCGCAAGATTATGACGTATTATATCTTGAAATTAGAGCATGAAAAAGGGTGGCATCGGTGAAAATAATTAGAAGAATGAAGAGTAATTCGAAATAGGTTGAGATAATTGGATACCACTCATTTTGTTAACAAGGTTGTTAACGTCAAGCAGGATTTAGGAGATGGAATGGTACGTTAACTCTCTATCGAACTTGCAGGCAATTCGATTACGGTTAAAGCAACTTCGAAGTTGAATGCGAAGCTAGAGGCAATCCTTAGGGATTCGTTTCTGTGTACATATTTAATTTTTCAATGCGCTGAAATGCTAGCAGAATTGAGATTTAATAAAACATTAAGGTGTTGGTGAATCTTGATATAGATCCGAACAATTTATCAATCGCATTAAGCCACGATAATAATTAATGAAATAATGAAAGAATGATGTGTGTTGTACGAGAACATGAAATCTATTTTACATTCATAGACAACACTGCCTTCATAAAAGAAACGCTGCAGATAAAAAATGAAATAGATTCAACCTTCTGTTTCGTTCTCCTGTTTTATTTACAGAAATGTCGATTGAACCCCTTTGAACCTCGGAATCAGAGGATATAAGGATTAATTTATAGCACACGTTTACCCGTGTTCGACGTGTAATTATCGTTGCAATCGTTACTTATGATTTATGCATCATTACACGCATCAAAACGCTCCCGTGAACTTATCGAAACACAGAATTCCATATTTGCTGTGATAACTGTTCATCAGCAGTCAGTTGCACCGGTATACACAAGAGATTTGTTTCACCAGAAGGAAAACCGCAGTAACGTTGTTATCGTGCCGGTGAATTGCGAGGTGAATTCGAGTAGCATATCTGATGGCATATAATTCGTGAACGCTTTGAAAATGGTCTAACTCTAATGAATATTCCCTTTGTTGGTTACGTTTCACGTTGATCTACATAGATCAATCATGATGATTCGAATTACCCTGTTATTATTTCGTCATTTAACTAACCGTTTATCTTTTTGTTACAGTGCAGCGGCCACGCGGTGCGTTGTTTCGCCGGTGGTCCCCGGAAGAGCAACGAATCCCAGTGCCCGATGCTCCAGAAACTCGAGAAGCCGATCCTCTCCTCGTCCACGACTACCACGCCGCAAATCACGTCGACGAAATCGACGATCGTAAGGAACCATCTGAACAGTACCTGCAGCGTGACGAATTCACCTCATCAGAAGAAGCTCAGGTTTCATTTAGCGAAGGAAAGAAAAGCAAGCACAACTTTGGGCATCATAATGAGCGCGTTCATCGTCTGTTGGCTACCATTTTTCGTATTGGCCTTGGTCAGGCCGTTTCTAAATAATCCCGATGCGATTCCAGCGTTTTTATCCAGCCTGTTCCTATGGCTTGGCTATTGCAACAGTCTGTTAAACCCCATCATCTACGCCACCCTGAACAGGGACTTCCGGAAGCCGTTTCGCGAGATCCTCTACTTCCGTTGCAGCAATCTGAACCACATGATGCGGGAGGAGTTCTACCAGAGCCAGTACGGTGATCCGATAAACAATTACGAGATCAAAGCTGGCGAGATGGACGGCGCTGAACGCCTTGACAATCAGGGCATCGAGGCGATCGACGTCGCCGCGAACGCCCCTAACGAAAGCTTCCTATGATCCTCGGGAGACTCGTTCCTTGATCGTCGAATCGAGTACGGTAGCCTCGAGACGGCCTTGGACCGGCCGTGATCGATGCGCAACAACGATCGGTCGATCTTTCAACGAGAATATTGTTCAGAATATTGTATGGGAGCTAGCAGGAGACAAATGCTTTTGGTCTGCAGCTGGACGATGAAGAACGAAGGTGCAAGTCATCCGTGAAAAACTTACGGCGATTAAGCTTGCTGAAGAAAAAGTATTTTCTCCTGGACCTGATAGAAGACTTACAGTAGTAGAGGTAAATTGCAGGATGTTTTTGGTGGTGGAAGATAATCGAAAGTAGTTGAAATTATTTATTATGAACAATATGGAAGCTCTATGTCTTGAATTATGTGTCGAGGACCAGTTTCTTAATTGCAATAACGACCTGGTCCCTCGCGTAGCCAGCTCATGAAACCCTTTCTAAACTTTGTGATTAAAGAAAAATGGTGGTTATTTCGATGAAAACGATGGGAACTATTCTTTGAATTGGTTGGATAGAATCTCTCTTAGGATTTCAGAGGACATCTGGATATAAAAAGTTGAAGAGCTTCGATGATTAAAAGTACATTCTACGCTTGATGTGTCCAGTTGTATAAACGATTTTATGGAAACATATGATCTGTAATGTTGTACAGAAGATCAAATAATCTGTGTAGTGTCGCGTTGATAATCTTGAACGGTGTGTAACTAGCAAACAACAGAGGTATCTTGAAAATAGAGACTCTTTCGATTTAAATGTGAGAAGCGTGTTTACCAGTGCACTCGATTCTGACAATTCTCTTCTTCAGTATTTTTCATAAATAATTGAAGACGCGTGCGTTCTAGCGACGGTTATTATAATAATATTAATTACACGATACTTGTTTCGAAAGAAGAAAAAATTAATGGAGGTAGATTTTCTTAATATTTCCTAAGGTATTAAATAATTTTGTAATATTAATTTTCGACATTTATTAACATTTTATTTATTTAGCTTGAAACAGTATTAGAAAGAAAATGTAAGAGTACACCAAATGAAAATTATTGATATTAAATAACAGTTCCATACTTTTGGAAAAGAGGAGTAGCAAAAGAAATCACGATGGAAAGCAATTTTTAAAATGGCAAAGGAGAAAATCGTAACTTACGATGGAAGGAACTCGAACAAATAACGTGTACCAGTGGGAAATGTCAATTGGAAAGTCGAATCACCGGTTGGAAAATTACTCGTAACACACGAGTACAATAAAACCATCGAAATCTTTGGTTTCTTGCATCTCCAGAGTGTAATTACGAGAAGTGTATTTCCTATTTGAATCGCCGTTTGTCCAAAATTTGTAGGACACAGAAATCTTTACATCAGATAATATAAGCAGTAAGACAGTGTTCATAGAAGGTTTTCTGTTACATTTTTTTTTTTAATGTTATAAAGCACTTCATTTTCTTTAACTAATCGATTACATTAATTTAATGTGTCAGCCACTAACACGGCAGTGAACGTGTTAAATGGTAACTTGTCTTTGACAACATCTAGCCATTCAGAAGACAAATTGATCAACTCGTTGCAACGAGGGGTAGAGAGAATTGATGATGTTAGAAACTGTGGAATAACTTGTCCCGATATTTCCACCTCTTCTAGAAACTTTGTTATCTCCCTACGGAGAAATTTCCATGGGAGAAATTGTTTTTGCTGCCTCGAAAACGAAGGTAGTGTAACGAAGGCAGGATAACAAAGTGAAGCGAGAAAATCGAAGGATCTCAATGGAACGCGAATAAATAAGAAAAATTAGAGAGTTGGCTTTTCAAAAACGATTGGAACGTGCAAGAAAATATTTAAAATAATGTTCAAGGGCATACTTCCCTCTATTTATGGACGGTATGTTAGAAAAATAATTAATTTTATTATGTGGATATAAATATTTATTTGTAACAATTTTCAATTCTTTTTGTGGATTTAATTGAAATTTTATACTGAAAGGAAAACTGATATCTGTAATCAGTGAAAAGAAACAGGTTGGCAATAGAATTTTAATGCCTAACAATAAGCTGAGCATTAAAGGACAAGAAACTGTAATACTCTGATAAACGAAGTTCCATCAAAGCAAAGCAAACAATTTTCCTCGTTCGAAGCTGGATTACCGCTACGAAGTGGAAAAAACTTTTCTCTCGCGATTACGTTCGCTGACGAGGAAAAGGGATAAGAAGTAGCTGTCCGATACGATACGTCGATCCCCGTCAGAGAATCGTGATTGTATCGAATTTAGAATGCTTTCGTATAGAGAGGAATGGAGAAAGTGGCACGAGGAAAACGTAAAATCCTGTACCTATATTGCATGATCGATACAGAGTGCATCGAGGAAAAACCAATGCGAAACTCAATGTGAAACCTCTGTTACACATAGACCAAGAGAAAACTAATAGATAACAAGCTACTAGTTATCATTTCAATCATTTCACTGAATTGTTGCTCAAAAAGGTGAGAATTCTACGAATTTCATTTTCCAATCGTCAGAAAATTAGATCGTGGAAAAGTCTGTAAAAGAAATTCAATTTTCAAATTTCTTTCATGGTAGTCTTAAAGGAAGCAAACTCTTACAAATTAACAACTAATGAAGTCATGTTACTAACAGGCCATAAATAACGTGTTGCCTTCTTCAGAAGTAGTGCAACATGCCTTGACCACATGCGAAACAAAACAAACATGATCGATCCATTATAGTTACACTGTGTAAGTTCCTTAGAGAAATAATTGAGATTCTCGTGGTTTGTTTTATGTGGTTTCCTTTGTGGCCCTTTAGTGAAATTTTGCACGATGGAAATAATTGTTTAATGTCTATTTTCAATTCATAAACCTTGATAATTTTAGGCGAATTTTCTTATAGACACTTTCAAAAATATTACTATTATAAAGAAAGAAGATAAAAGTGAAGGTCGCAACGCATGCAGTAGGATTTGTTTAAATTTGAATAGGCGGTCACTGGTAGACTCGTGATATTACCAAATATTATGAATAAATATTCCGTAAATAATAAATAATCGTGCATGGTGCTAACAAAGAGAATCATTCCAAATAACGGCGATAAATTAATGGGAGAAAGTGATGTGATTACAGCTGAGAGAACTGAAAACGTACTTTAACTCGAGTCGAAAGTTTTGTAGAAATAATTTCTGACAGTATTATCATAATTAAATGATATTTTCATATGCGGCTATGTTGGCTCTTGAATATTTTAACATAAATGATGTTTGCTGTATTTTACTTGTACGATATTTATTTATTCTACACACTGCGTTAATTATAGTATTAATATTTCGTTCCAAAAAGTGGAATCATTTGTACAGATCCATCTGCTTTCATACTGCAAAATATATAGTCACTCGCGAAAGTCTTCGTACATTTTATAACATTAATTAAAACCGACAATAAGATATGTAATCTTTTCAAATAGCTTTTCCTTCCATCTCAATCTCCAGGTTTAAATTTTACAGAATATGTTTGAAGTTATTCAGAAAGAAATATAATAAATGAAGAAGGTCTTGTAAGTGCATTAGGAAAAGAAAATGAATAGTTTCATTAAAAAGACACTTGGTAAATTATAGGTAGGTATACATTAATGTACGGACACTTTTGTGAAATGCATAATTCGTTTATTTTTTTATTCATGCGTTACATATTTCATTATAAAATAATTATTATTGCCTAATATGTGTTAATAAATACATATGTTATTACATCAAATTATTGCTGTAAAACGTTTTGTTTCGTTCCGATACAATTGCGACAAAAATAATACAAAGGATATTGTAATTTTTATTTATTTGTTACCAATGACAATCTTTTCGTTATACAAAATGTTTGTATTGATCGCCAAAGTCTATTAAATAAGAATCGTTACTGATTTATAATGAAACTAGCGATTTATCAATGGCTATTTACGGATAGTCATCATTATCCATTATTGATAAATAGCTGGTAATGCTAGCTATATAGTTGACAAATTATGAATAATATAAAATTCTGACTCTATTTGTAGATACTATTTATCGCTGAAGCTCGTTTATTGTTATTTATAACTCTGATATATGTTAATGACTACTAAAAAATTCGAAAAAGAAAGATAGAAACCACTATATAATTGGCAGTATTTCAATATAATTTTCAAACCATCACTTTCATATTAATTTTAGAAAGATCATTGTTGCAAACAAAGTATTATATTTTGCTTAGTCGAAGCTAAAACTACTTTAAGATAATCCTGCTTAAACACCGTGAAGACCGAAGTCCTTTACATGAAACTTTACTCCCATTAATATACTATTATAATGTTATGTAATAAAATTTTGCTACAAAAATATTTTTCTTATTGATATTATAATATTAAGTTGTCACAGATAAAATGGTCGGTTTGAAACACTCAATAGCTTCATTAACAGATGATATTCATTAATCAAAACGTGTTTCAAAAAATCTATATTTTTTAATACTATTGCTGATGTTTATTTAAGTTGATCATACGATTCACTTTTAAAATTCATATTTTCTGATTGAAATTTGTGAGACCAATGACATTATCTATTCTTTCTACAAATGTTACATTAAATAAACAGTAACCTTTTCTGCAATATATCTTGATTGAAATCTGTGAACGAATTTCACTCTGATCCCTGAAAATTTCTGTAGTCATTTTCATCAAAATTTATGCTTCAAATTGGTGTTGTACCATGAGTGCTGTACTTTGCGGTACCTATATGATTTCCTTTTATTTACGATGTATTCCTAAATTTAAATACAATTTTACACGAATTTAACTAAATTTCTGTATGATGGTAAAACAGGTAAAATATCATAGTAAAATACCAATGATGGTAAAATATCATTTATGTAAAGTTGTATTTAAATTTGGGGATTTAATTGTGTACGAAATTGATTGAATTTATATTATATTATACAAATTTAATCTATTTGGGAATTAAATTTAAACACGTTGATTTAAAAATAGAATATCACTTTCTTTATTTGTACCCTTACATCCATCAACTTTTTGCCGCTAAAGCAGTGACTACAGATGTAGAAGACTAGACGTGCCTTTGTTTTCGAGGGGTCATGATTAAGAGGGTCCCAGACACCCCCAGATGAGATTAGATCTGCATGCAGAGAGCACAGCCAAGATAATCGTGCCTGTTTTATCAGTCACTCTTTTACCGCACCTTAAACTGACATCTGAAAAGACACAATTTTCACTTCCTTTGATTCTATTTTCTTTTTTAAATCAGTCAAAATCAGTACAAAACTGAACAATTATTATTGTAATTGTTTGACAAACATGTATTTCTTCAGCCCTACATTCTCTTCATCCCCACATTCCTTACATCTCTTCATCCCTTACATCCCTGCATTCTTTTCATCTCTACGTTCCTTACATCTCTTCATCCCTTACATCTCTGTATCCCTTACATCCCTGCATTCCTCACATCTCTACATCCCTTACATCTCTGCATTCATTACGTTCTTACCTTCTTTGTATCCGAACATCCCTTACATCTCTGCATTCATTACGTTCTTACCTTCTTTATATCGGAACATCCCTTACATCTCTGCATTCATTACGTTCCTACCTTTTTTATATCCGAACATCCCTTACATGCCTGTATCCTTGAAATCCTTGTATCACTTATATTCCTGCATTCCATACATCCCAGTACCTCCCTGAAACAGAGTTGAAATTTTTGCGGCTCTAAGGCCTGCGATTTAAAAAAAAATCTAGTTCCTTTTATCGCCACCAGAGGGCGCTGATTCGACCTCGAAATTTTAGTTCGCATTTTTCCCGCCAGAGGGCCAAAAATTGAGCAAGGTTTAGTTCCTTTTTTCGAAACCAGATGGCGCTGATTCGACATCGAAATTTTAGTTCACATTTTTCCCGCCAGAGGGCCAAAAATTGAGCAAGGTTTAGTTCCTTTTTCCGAAACCAGATGGCGCTGATTCGACATCGAAATTTTAGTTCACATTTTTCCCGCCAGAGGGCCAAAAATTGAGCAAGGTTTAGTTCCTTTTTTCGAAACCAGATGGCGCTGATTCGACATCGAATTTTAGTTCGAATTTATGCCTCTAGGGGGCGCTGTTTTTCGAAATTTTCGCGAAATTGTCGAAGGAACTAACTTACCTTTACTTACCTTTACTTACCTTTACTTACCTTTACTCGAAGCAGTCTTTGTAATATATTTATTATAAGGGATGCAGAGATGTAAGGAAAGTGGAGATGAAAAGAATGTAGGGATGAAAGGAATGTAGGGATGAAAAGAATGAAGGGATGAAATGAATGTAGGGATGAAAGGAATGTAGGAATGAAAAGAATGAAGGGATGAAAAGAATGTAGGGATGAAAGGAATGTAGGGGTGAAAAGAATGAAGGGAGGAAAAGAATGTAGGGATGAAAGGAATGTAGGGATGAAAAGAATGAAGGGATGAAAAGAATGTAGGGATGAAAAGAGTGTAGGGATGAAACGAATGAAGGGATGAAAACAATGTAGGGATGAAAAGAATGTAGGGATGAAAAGAGTGTATGGATGAAAAGAATGTAGGCATGAAAAGAATGAAGGGTTGAAAAGAATGAAGGGATGAAAACAATGTAGGGATGAAAAGAGTGTAGGGATGAAAAGAGTGTAGGGATGTCAGGGATGCAGAGATGTAACGGAACGAGGGATGTAAAGGAATTCCGTAGGGGTCTGGGGCTGGGGCCCCGGTCTCCACTGCATACGGCCCGATAAGAGCCGGCATCGGGTGTGGCCCCCGATGTCGGCGGAGTTTGGCACATGGCAGAGGGTCGAAGGACCCTCCCTACCGCCCTGGTGCAGGCCACCGTGGTGGTTTTAGTGGGTAAAAATCCCACACTACCTCCGGCCCTTCCCCAGGGGGGCTGAAGGTGTCTTTCTGAAGATTTCCACCACGTTAAAAAAAAAAAAAAAAAAAAACGGTATTTAAGGGTTGCAGGAATGTAAGGAAAGCAGGGATGTAAGGAAGCCTGGGATGGAAGGAATACAGGGATGTAAGGGATACTGAGATGGCCTTGGCCTATAATGAAGGATAAAATTATATAAATAACTGGAGAAAGTAAAATCAATGTGGTTCTCTACTGAGACACAGAAGGGGGATATAATCATAAATGTTATTCCACTTCGATAAGCTTATTAATAAGCAAAAAAAAATAAATGAAGTAAATTAAATAAACTCTGGAAAAAAATTATACTGATTGTGCTCTCTTCATACGGACCTGATTTTATTCAGTGGTGTTAGGAACCCCGCTACGCCAATGACCTCCTCTGCGTACCGACCTGATATCATATTGGTGTATTAAGGACCCCATAATGCCGGTAAGTATCTTTGCATACCAATAATATAGCATCCGGGGTGCCAGGGACCCCGAGGTACCAGTGATCATCTCTGCATACCGACCTGATATCATATTGGGGTATTAAGGACCCCAAAACGCCGGCAGGTATATTTACATACCAATAATATAGCACCCGGGGTGCCAGGGACCCCGAAGTACCAGTGACCATTTCTGCATATCGACCTGATATCATATTGGGGTATTAAGGACCCCTTAACGCCGGTAAGTATCTTTGTATACCAATAATATAGCATCCGGGGTGCGAGGGACCCCGAAGTACCAATGACTATCTCTGCATACCGATATGATATCATCTTGGGGTGTCAGGAACCCCGAAGCACAGGTGATACTCTTTGCCTACCGGCCCTACGGCATTCGGGGTATCTGGGACCCCGAAGTACCCGGTGACGCTGCATACTGATAATATGCCACCGGGGTGCCAGGGACCCCGAAGCAAGTAGCGAAATATAAGACCTAAAAACGAACAAATCGTGAAACTCTCTTGTTCGGAATAGTGATGGGTACGACCGGATCTAGCGAAATATAAGACCTAAAAACAAACAAATCTTGAAACTCACTTGTTCTAGGTAGTGATGGGTACGATATTATTATAAAACAAACTTGTAAATAATTAAGAAATTATTCACTCACAAACAATGAAAATGATATATTTGTAAATCACAAACGATTTCCAATCAATTACAGTTATTAATTATCACAAAATCTGTTTATTATATAGTTACTAAAAGATTTCGGCCCACATCATGATTGAAATAAAATTGCTAATTACAAAAGAACTAATTTGTCACAAACGTTAAAAATAGACTCACAATCAATCACAAATGATTTACAAACGAAATACACTAAGAAAAATTAAAAAGAATCATATTTTATTATTCCTTCCGGTTAGCTTCATGTATGTATGTAGGTGTTGATGCTTCGGGTTCCCTGACACCCCGGATGCCATAATGTCGACATGCAGAGTATTACCGGTGCTCGGGGTCTCTGACACCCCAAGCGATCAGCCATTGCGCCATCGATGTAACACCGACGCAAACTATTCGTTAACTTACCGACTACCGAAGGGTCGATTACCGATTGTCGGGGGTTCAGTCGATAAGTCGGTAATTTACTGAATAGTTTCCACCGCTTTAGTATAGGTGGCGCAGGGGTCGAACTTTAAACATACTTAATTCTAGGCGGACTTCTCAAAATTTAAGTTTGTCAAATAATTATTCTGATAACTTTTCGGCCTTGTTAAAAATAATATTAATTGAAATACTTCTTTCAGTAATTGACATACTTCCAACCTATTTAATCTTCAGAGAATGTGTTAAATATTTTAGGAAATATAGACAGTGATAATAATACAGGAACAGTAAGAAAAGAATTGTCAATTTTACAATCCATTTATTAAAAATATGCACTAATTCACATTGCATAGGGGTGTAGGTCTGTATCTTTGTGTATGTGTGTGTATGTCAATTAATGCGTGTGTATGTTTGTTCGATTACTTTCAATTAGAATAGAGTATGACACAATTATTAATATTGTCCTCTATCTACGCGTTGAGACACTTCTAGCACGTAATTGATTCTCAAAATATACAACACTCTCGGTGTTGATCGTTTACAAAAGGCTAGATTCATTCTTTCATTTTATTTTTCTTTCTAGATTTAGTTTCGGTAGAATTTGGAATTTCTAACTAGAATCCTGAACGCTTTCTCTTCTTCGCTTTTCATTTCACTAAATGCTTTTCCTTATTTTTTTTTGGTTTCTTTTCATTCTTTTGGTCCTATTTCACAGACATTCAAGTCTGCGAAAGAACACCAGGCTTCCATCCTGCACGTACGTGTACATTGACATATACATATACATATAGACTGAGTATATAACTATGAATTTTGCGAAAATTTACAATTGAAAATCCATATTTACCGACGGCAAATTCCATGTGTCTGGCTAAAAATCATGGATACCAGTATTTTTATTATGTAAAGCAATGCAAAATAATGTCATAATTATTATTTTTTCTTTAAATACATGGTAAGAGATAGAAGAAACACAGTACGACACTGTTTAATTATTTAAGGGTTGCTCACAAGGGTCCGAACCGATCCATGACCTTTAGGAAAAGGGATCTTTAATCATCATTTAGATCATTAAACATCATCATTCATAGTATAGCTCATACGAATCAAATGAATGAAATTAAAGTTCGCTCGTTTGTGTAACATAAATACATAATTTGTTACAAACAAAATATCATAAAATCCTGTTAAAATAATATTATCTTAAATACATATATGCAATAATAATAAAAATGGTAATATAATCTAATATAAAATGTATACATATGTTAGACTGTTCTGTTTCGTGAAGGTACTCTGAATTGCGATACTCTAAATTAAAAATTTGGAACTAAATTCTCGAAGTTTTCTGCATTTAAAAATAAAGTAATATACATTCTAAGTATTTTAATAGAAGTCAATTGTAGATTGTAATGTTCAAGTTAATATACTAATTAATATAGTCAATTATGTACATTAATACGTTTGCTGCCGAGCTTTAAAAGCGAGTCGGTGGGTGTGTGCCTCAATATTAAAAAGCTAACGATGAAGCCCGCGATACCGCGTGATGGACAGCGAACGAGTTAATAAATTTCTAGAATTTTTACAATAATCTCTGTATAACGTTTCTAAGCACAGAGATTTAAAGTTTAACAATGATCCACTGTGATGTGTTTACTCGTGTTTGTTGTTACATTAATTATATTGATTCAGGAAGACAATGGTAAAAAACGTAATAATATGCATCTGCAGAAATTCGAGAATTGGTTCGCTACGTATATTCCTGTATGTATATCGAAGATGATAAATAAAATGCGTCAAGAATAACTTAACAAAATTAATGAAAAGCTATCCAATCTTGGAATGTGATTAGTGCAAGTAAGCTATGTACAATTGTAAATAAAATATGTATACTTGTTTGTAAATTTCGCTTTTAATTATTTTCCTTTCTTTTTATATTATTCCAGAAATCGAGAAAGTTTTTATTTTAAAATTGTAATAATTATTAATTAGTCGCAGAATTGATTACAGATTGTGCGCTAAAGAGCATATGTTTTCCTTCAGTATAATTGACCCAAATTAACCATTTCTGCAGCATTTCGCAAAAAAAATATATATATAAATTAAAGATGTAATAATAAGAATAACAAGGCCTTTAAATGAAATGCATCTTCGATATACAATGGATTGCAATGTTGTTAACCATAAATGCAGGATACAAAATAAGAAAAATGTACATAAAATATTATTTAAAAATAGATCCTTTCTTAAAAAAATCATCTCGCTTGTTTAAATTAGCAACACAGTCTTGTTCCTAATAATATTAATTTTGTTTAATGAGGAAGCGAATCAAAATTATCATTAATATACTCGGATGTAAAATATTTAGAATATACCTTTTATGAAACAATGTTGTTAATTAAAACAAACAGACAAAAAGAAAAACAACTATATATCTTCACAATTTCTGTTGACTTAGACTTAATTACTTTGGATCACAAAAGAAGAATCCACGTATAATTAAACAATCGATATCATAATTCAGTTAATTCTTTTTTTTTTTAAATAAAATCATCGAGACATAATTTTCTACGTCTCGATAATAATATTCCTACGTCAGGTAATAATAATCTGACGGGATCGTAAACCCCTTGAGTATGGAATGAAAGAAGATACTTTAGCGAACTGTTGCTGATAGCTTGAAGAAACTTCTGTTACGTGAATCTGAATTACGTGTTACCTGAATTATTCGATAGAAAACAGTCGAAATTGCATTATAAAATCGTCTACACGCTCGTTCGTAAACGAGAGAAAGAATTGATGAGTACTCGCTTCAAATTTACAGAGATTCATCATAGATCATTGTATTTGATGGAACGCTACGAAGAGTGACATCAAAATTTTCAGTGTTTCATTTTTTCTTAATAAAATTTAAAGAACTAGCGATCGCTATAATCAGTCGTCTTTTTCTCACGTAGAAAGATGATTACTTTTATGAATCACATTTTCTTTTGTTCCATATTGTTATGCGGTGACTCAATAGATTCAATTATAATTAGCCTAATAATCATATCGTTTAAGAATTCTACAAGTCTCGTTTCACTTTTCCTCTTCTTTGTTCTACTTACAAATTACATTTTCTTCTATGTAAATAAATTTAAATGGTACGTTTATATAAAATATCAAGAAGTTTGAATAAAATCAAATTCAAAAAGTTCATAAAACGCTTATAAAAGTGAAACAGAAAATTTTGTAAAATATTTAAATTAATGTTGATGAAAGAAAATCGTCAGTTTTCAGTTAAATATTGAAAAATATTAATGTAGTATTCGGCAGAAAAGTTCTAAGACATCGTCGCGTAGACGTTTTTACGACATCACGAATTTCGGAGGGCGTACAGCATCGAGCATGGTAAGCTTCCCCAGGGAGAAATGGCTATGTCCCGGCCTACTATGCACGATACTGTAATACACAAACTATCTACATGACCCCGATTCCTCGACGACACATAACGACAATTACAATTGATTATTCAATTGATCGATCGTTGAACATGAAATGGAAGTCGAATACGCTTCTCCTGAAATTGATTTCGATCGGTGACAAATTTCCGTCGAACACGTAGACGTCGAGTTTTTCTTCCTTTTTCTTCTTTCGTAATATCTGAACTTTTGCGGGTCTACGATTTTCAAAAGGCAAAATTAATAATAAAAAAAAAAAAAGAAGAAGAACGAACATCTTGAGGCTATCAGAATTTTACATGGCGACTTCTCGCATTGACTACCCATCGGAAAGGGTGCGCTAAACCTTACTAAAAAATAGCTTATATGTATAAAACATCCGCCTCGACAGCGATAGAAGTTTTCTACTTTTTTCTTTCTTTCTTTTCTTTCATTTATATAATCGGCATTTACAGCTTTAATCGCTTCTTATTAATAAAAATACTATATAGACGCGGACCTTGCACTTTCTTAACGCTTCACTGTATATAATTTCACTCTGGCAATTAATTCTCTCTCTGTCATCTCGTTTGTACTGTTCTAAATGTACTTTTTATTTTTGGAAAGACTTGTCAGCTGAAAATGTTACGTTCTTGCATCTCTCTTTCTACCTTTTAGATACTCGCTTTAATTTTTTTAAGAAAGGGATGAGAATTTCTTTTCGTCCCTTTGGTTTGAAGACTTTGAGGTCTGGAGTTTTGTTATATATAAGTGGAATAAATTACCCTGAGAAAGATAAACTAGCAATCGAATGCATAAATAAATAAATAGATAAAAAAATAAATAAAACATCTGGTAAAATTAAAATAAATTTTTCTATGCTGTATTTACAATTACTGATCAATTTTTACTTAATATTTAGTACACACAAAAGTATTCAAATACCAATATATATACAATTAATGTAGACACAAAATGCTCATAATTATTATTTTTACAAAGAGTAAAGCACACATTTAAAAGTAACACAATCCATGTATATTGCATAAACTTTGATTTGTAAAATTGTTTCAAAGCTCATCGTGCAAATCTCAATTAATTAGATATGACTGTCTATTTTAATTGCAATCAGCTTGAAGCTATAAGTATTTTGAAAATTAATAAAATTTCTGTCAGATCTTAAAAGGATTAAGTAGAAAGTTCTTTTATAGTAGAATCTAAAAGTCTTAAATGACACTAATTAAAGCTTAAAAAATTGAAATAAAAAAACGACAGAAACATTCAAACGTCTTCAAACCAGTTATCTTTAGCGAGTACCAAATACACATCGGGACAGGGCAATGGAATTTGTACTCAGCGACGCCCGATATTATGTGATTATCAGTTACGATTGTAACCCTGATCTCGAGATTTTGCGCGGTGAAATTGTCCAATTTGAGTATTTTTCGAACAAAATAGTACGGGTCTGAAGGGTTGCTTGAGGGGTAGAGCTATTGCGAACCGAATAAAAAGATGCAACACAGCAGGGATGCACGTTACGCAATAGAAAATATAATTTGTCTTACTATACGGCGGTGTGACGATACTGTATGTACAAGTTGGCACTTTTTCTTCATTATGGAGTATAATTGATAGATAGAACGGAATAGGATTGATTCCGATGCGTGGTCAACCGAGAGAATTTCGAGTGCGATCGCGACGAACGAGGATACTCGAGCGCTTATTTGCATCTTCTATCATTCATTGTTATTCTGTTTTACTATTCAGTGTAGAATTTTAACTTTTGAAACACTGAGAAACTTAGTGGTCTTAATGAAATTTATAATTCCTTTCCCTCAGAAAAATAAATTTGAAAAATAAATACTTTGCGAGAACTTAATACGGAATCATTTCAGTGATCAACTGGAAGACTTAACAAATTCAAAAAGTGCATTGTACAATTAGAAATAATGATTAAATGACACATAATTCTGGAATATATTTCAGCACCTTTTAACGGGTTTCAAATGTATCACAAAGTATTTATTCCTCAAATATCTAAATATTCAGTTCCTCTTGTAGGGGACATATACATGTAGGGTGCTCTAAAAATAGTGTACAATCCATTTGTAATTTCTTATAAATAAGAATATAACGCTCTTTTATCTCGTTCGACGCGTCTCATTCTAAGCAAGTTAGAAACCTCAGCTGCTATTATACACACGATACTATGAGTATGTACAACCAACTACGGACAGTTGACTTCCACGTCGCTAACTCCGCACCAACGTTCACCATCTCTCCTCTCCCTTTCGTTAAGTTACTTACTTATGTTGAACACAATGATCGAGAGTTTTCAATCACAATAGACTCGCAAATGTAACGGCGTACATTCACTAGGTAACTGGATTCCCGTTTGGTCGAATGGTACACGCGTGAACCAGCGGTGAATCTTGAAATTTTTTTTTTTTTATTTCTGTCGCTGCTTGTGCCGATTCGCTTTGCCTTCCTCATTCATCTACCGCATTTCATCTTCCTTTCGAATGCGTTCTGGACTGCGTCGTTTAAAGATCGATCGACGAGGAAACGTTTGACGAGATCTTTGAGAAGAGTCACCCGGAGAGATCGGGTCGACTCGGTGCACCCGAGATTTCTTTAAGAGAAACGTGCACGAACGATCAAGGGTGAAGCTGAAATCGTCGATGTGCGTTCTGTATAATCGACGATGAACGTCGTATCGTAAATGGAACCAGAGTTTGAACTCGATCGATTTTCAATTCGACGCCGTTGCCGCGGTGGTATGAACGTTTCTGTTGAGCGTCGCTTCATCTACGTTTGAGGTAGAATAATTCGGGAAAGAGAAAAAAGTGGAGTGTCACCGGAGGATGATTAGAGTAGCGGGGAAATATTTGGCAGTATAGAGTTTGTTCTTTTCTACAGCCGATTCCGAATGTCCGATCGCCTGGTCGCCGTTCTTCTCTCTTGATTCGTCCACCATTACTTCGCGCCTGGTATCTTTCCTAACACCTGGAAATTAAAAAAAGAAAAAATGAAGGTTAATATTAGAATTATAAAGAAACTCGAATTTTCAATAAAATTTCAATAAAAGAAATCGCGAAGGTTCAGTTCTAGCTTTCAAGTTAGGTTGTTTGAATATTTCAAAGTATAATAGAGTGTGTATCAATCATTTTATAAAATTTAATTTATCTTTTTAAAGAAGCTAATGATATCCCAATCGAGATATAGTACACTGTTCCTTGCTCAAATGTTTTATTCAAATTTACGGTACTTTCGGCACCGAAATTTATCTGTATACGCTTTCTAAGAGGACGAAGTCCTCTCGAACATACTTTTGAAAGATCTACACCGGTCAGTGCTTGAACAGCTGGAGGTACTTGCCCCACAAGGCGTGTTATTTCTCCACTGGTCGCGTCGTTTCCACCCAGAAGAACGATCTCTTCTGTTCTCGCCAATGGTGCTGCTACCTCCGCGGCAATCTAAGCAAAAAAATAAAAATATTTTAAAGTATAGTTCTACATGGATGGAATAACTTATTTTGAATATTTTTTAATTGATAAATTCAGTACTGAAGGAAGGACTAAGTTTACCTTTGGCAGAGCGGTTAAAGCAATGTTCAGAATAGCAGCCTCGCCGTATTTCTTGTACACGGCAGCTTTCATCCGCATACGTTCAGCTTCCATTACTCCAACCGCCTCTAGAGCTTGAGCCTCGGCTTCTCCGATCAATCGAATCCTCTCAGCTTCAGCTTTCGCCGCGTCCACGGTCTGCGTTCTAAAAACGATGAAACCAGTTAAAACATGCTGATGCTAGAAATAGCAAATAAACCAATTGATTTATCCTCGGTGCAAGCTAATTCTGCCCTGATTTTCTTTTTCTAAATGAACACTACTGGGTGTTCGTTCGATTGATCGACTCTTAACCCATTGACATTTTACGGTCCTCTTCAGAAACGAGCACGATACCTGTTTCATTTTCAAGTAACTTTTAAACGATATAAGATGAATTTCTTTTTTAATTACCTTTTTCCTTCAGCCACTTTTCCCATTTTGTAATGTTCAGCTTCAGCCGGAAGTCGCACCGTACTCTGAAGCTCGTGTTCCTTTCGACGAACTTCCTGCTCCTCGACCTCGATCTGTTTACGCCTTTCAACTACCTCAATCTGGATCTCCTCGTTTCGTATTCGTTGCCTGATTTTCGCTGCTTGAAGCTCGTAGGCCAGCTGCGCTTCCGCTTTCTAAAGATAGAATCGTTGCTAATCAGTCAATAACATTATCGATATTATTGAACCCATGTACGGAGTCTAAAAATATCAACCCACAGCTGTGTTCACTTCTTGGTCAAAGTTTGCCTTCTGCAGTTGGAAAAGTCTGGCATTGTCTTCGATTTTTGTGTCGGTGTTGTATTTTATATCCATCGCTGCCTTCTCGCATTCTGCTTCCTAAACGCAAATTTGAAGCAAGAGATAATTAAATTAAATTAAATAAAAATGCGAAAACTTCTGAAAAAATATATGTTATAGTACTAGGTATAGAATATATGCCCAAAAAATTTCCGAGCTATAGGACTTCTCGTTCAAGAATAACCGAATTTATTCTAAAAGAATAAGCACCCTGTGGATTTCTTGTTACGAACGACTCATTCTGCAGACATTGCCGTACAAACGTACCCGGATTCCGGCGTCGCGGTTCGCCTCGGCGACGCCAACGTCGGCGTCTCGTTTTACTGCCGCTGTTTGAGCCTTGCCGAGCGACGCCAAGTATTGAACGTCGTCGTAGACGTCTTTTATCGTGAACGACAGGATCTCGATGCCCATCCGACCGACATCCGGGGCGGCGACCTCCCTTACGAGCGTCGCGAATTGATCCCGATCCTTGTACACTTCCTCCACCGAGAGTGTTCCTGGATAGATTAACAAATTTTATCGATACAAATGATTTACTCTTAATTTTAAAATCATAATATCTAGATCTTATACTACTAACCCAATATTGCACGCAGATGACCCTCGAGGGTGGACAGGATCGTGGATTTAATTTCATGAACGCTTTTACCCAGAAATTGTTCACTGGCAGTGTGCAGAAGTTCGTCAGCCTTCATAATCTTGCATTGTGCCACCCCGGTAACAGTTAATGGCACACCTTGGGCGGTTTCCACGTTCTCGCAGACGGGATTCAGGGTCATAACCTCGAGAGACAATCGTTGGACATCTGTGACGAACCACCAAGTGAACGCGTAACCACCCACGATGGTTTTCTTCTTCATGAACCCGCAACATCCTCCTGCGAATAAAAATAAGAAATTTAATGAATAAGAGTTCACGGGAATTATTTTAATTTTTGGAGCTTTCCTTGACACTTTAGTAAATGGAAAGCTGGGAAAAACGGGTATTTGAAATAAATAATTGCAAATAAATATTAAATATTATTATAATTGTAAATAAATACAAAAACGATATGTCATTTTATTTTTTTAAAATTGGTAAGATGCTTTTGACTTCATAGCAATTATCTTCGAATAATTTATTTTATACCAAATGATAAATGGAAGAAAATTACTTATAACACTTTATGTGGTCCATCCTGTATGTAACAAAAAAATAATAAAGATAATAAAGATTTAAAATATTAGCTTATACTTTTATTAAAATAACAACCTTATTATTATCACGTTTTCTTCTTTTCTTACTATTGGTGTTAGCTATTCTTTTAGACGGCGGTATTTAAGCAACGGGCGTAACTTCAATCGTTTACAAAAGGATAAAAAATTAGAAAATTCTGTTCTCCAGTATTTCTTGTTAAATTTTTCCTGAACCATGATCGAATTTCTGATTCAATGGTCGTTAAGTTCGATATATCAGCGCAACGGTGTTGCAACGGTAAGTAGGTCGTTCCTATATAGCGGACAACGTCGTTCTTTACCGTAACTTTGCTCGATGACGTCAAAAAAATGATTCCTCGAACACCTCCTTTCGTCCGCCACGAACGTGACGCGTCTCACGTAATTCTTCATCACCGATTTTGAAAGCGATCACTCGCATTTTGTCGCGTTTCAATCGTAAACGCGCATCATCGCCGACTAATTTACTATCGACACGGTTTCATTCTCACAGATTGAACACGAAATTCTGGAAAAAATAATGATTAAAAACGTAAATTAAGACAATGCCGAAGAAATATCAAATAATGACGAAGAATAAAGAACTAAAATAACTAAAATTATTGAAACGTTTAAATACCAATTCATGAATTATTATTAGGGTGTTGCGTCTGATTTGATTTCACGACATAAAAGTTCACGAAATTAAAGCTTGAAGTTTAATCAAAAATGACGACACAAGCTAGAATATATGATGAAATAATGCAAAAAATGTAAATGTATTTAATTATTTAGTTAACAGGATTTTCACAGTTTTATTTCTGTGAAGTTTGCCAAATGTTTCGTAAACTTCCAGGAGACAACTATTGATGAGGCTAGCGCGCGATTAGAATGTGTGAACGATATTCAGGAATCCTCTATTCATAAGTTACGGTAACCCAAATCCCGTTTACAACATTTCTTCGATATTCCACTCACTCACCCTATTCTACGACCAAATTATTCACAGTTTACGCAATAGTATTTGATGTTTACGAGAGAACTGTACTTGCAGATACATTAGAAAATCATTGTAATTCTAACAATTGTTAGGTATATTCTAATTCTTCAAGGTTCTCCAGGGTTCACCTGAGATCAAATGCAAATGACGAGCGTCTTCTCCTTCTATCTTATATTATTAGTTTAGATAATAGTAAGGCTATTCGATTTTTTTCTTCTCTCCCCTCCTGGTAATTATTTAATTACATTAAATTTGAGGTAAAGCAACCGCTGATCCCCAAGCCAGACAACGTGTTAATAAGAAGTAGGTCAACTCCCATAACAGAAGTATAGAACATACATTCTTAGACAAATACTTCCGTCTTTCAATGTATGTTCGCTATTACACCTTCTTAAAATTCCATTTCTATTACACGATAGCCGGTGTGTCACCGAGCCGATGAAGCAGAGGCGGAGATGAACGCTGTAAGAATGAGCACGATGTAGAAGAGAGGGGAATATGGCTGACCGTTATGCGGCGTGTTCGAAAGGTTCCTAACCCGTTCGTTTCTACTCCAATCTCGATGAATCCAGCATGCTGACACTCGTGCCAACAGCAAGGTCATGATCAGTGTTACACCGTCCTTCAGCCGGTTGTTGAATCGTAACGTGGAACCATAGTTTTCCTTTATGGGAAAAACAGAGGCTGGAGAACGGTCCTCTTTTTCTCGGTGACCACCAACTCTGCGATACCTTGTCGTTTTCAAGAAAGAACGCCTGTGATACCAGCTGTGATACCAGTGATACCAGCATCCGTTAATTTTGGGATAATATTTATCTTGTTAAGAAAATAGTGGACCAGCTGTGTTTATTGTGAATGAATCAGTTCAATAAAGAAAAAATAATAGTGGAAATGAAAAATATTAATTTTGTATAAACAGATTAAAAAAAGGAGAAAATATCTTGAAGAAAAAAAAGATCGATGGTGCTCTAAAACTAGTGCTCAGTGTTCTGTCTAATAATAGCAGTTTTCTAAATTTTAAAGTTAGACTAAGGAACAGACCCAACAAAACTGGTGATTACAAAATTAATTAAAAATGTAAATTTCGAAGAACAGGTATAAAACATTTTTTTGAATACTGTGATGAATCATATAAAAATATGTGGCTGAGGATCAACGAGACGAAAGCAATATCTGAATGAAAATCCTGTTTCTGGAAGCATGGATCGACAGAGGAACGTCTAAGTACATTAATTATTTAAAAGAGAAGCTTCTAGACTACTATCTCTCGTAAAGTAGGTGAGCAAGTACAGCTTTCCTTTTCAAATGCATTAAATCTTAATCAAACGCCAAGTATTCATCTTTCACAAAATACATGGTCTGTTTTAAAATCAAATAATAAATCAAATAATAAATCAAGCTCTCTTTAGATTTTTATATAAAGTATGTACTTTCTATGTAGAAGGATTAAATAATAAAAATAAAATAAAATAGAAATTAATCAAAGATAGATTTCATGCGTTTCTGCGAAATTCTACGCACGATCACGATACTTTCGACGATGGGGTACGTGAGAATCGTCGCGGGCACACTGCCCGCGTTAATAAAGAATTACTTAACAGCTGAAAGTTTCACGTGTCATTACTATTCTTCTCATACACGCGTTTATTCTACGAACCACGTGTACTTGGTCGCTGGCTTTTCTTCGACCGATTTCTACGCGACGCGATGCGATGGATCGGACACAATTCGACAGTATCGAAAGACAGTTCGACCAAGAAGGTCCTTCTGATGATCTATAATTAGGAAAACGTGGTGATAATAATTTGTTAGTAAAAGCATTTGTTGCATTTATAAGAAATAGGAAATGCAGATGCAATGAATTTTTTGGGAATTTATAAAAAAGTTAAAATTTATCGAACAGAATGATTGATCGCAAATATAATATTGCAGGAGATCTATAAAGAAAATTCTAGAAACGGAAGATGGGTATCGAAAGCGTTCTAACGAGTGGCTTGACCTCAGCATCGAGTGGACTTTCATGGTTCTTTCCGGTGCTGGCAGCAGCGCTCGTTTACTTTCAATACGAAGTGATGGATAATGAAGGTCCGCCGATCAACGTTCCTTCCGAAGTACTACTGCCATCGTACGATTTTATCGTAGTAGGAGCTGGCTCTGCAGGTATGTACATTTCTTGTTTTCACTATACAACAATCTAATAAAAGACGTCAAAATTGAAATGTGTTGTTTGTTTAAAATTCTTTGTAAATATAACATCCGACGTTGATTGTTATGGTATTTTATTTGTCAACTTTCGCCGCAGGAGCCGTGGTAGCCAGCCGCTTGTCCGAGATAGAAAACTGGAACGTGCTCCTTCTCGAAGCTGGAGGGGACGAAACGGAGATCTCTGATGTTCCTCTTCTCGCCGGTTATCTGCAATTAAGTCAGCTAGACTGGCAATATAAGACCGAACCAGACAGTGGATTTTGCTTAGGTAAATAATTATTTTACGTTTTTTAATAAATAGAATAATTAATTTTCTTATTTGCTATTATTCTTCAGCAATGGAACACGGCCGCTGCAACTGGCCACGCGGAAAGGTCCTCGGCGGTAGCAGTGTCCTCAACTACATGCTGTACCTGCGGGGTAACAAAAAAGACTATGACGTATGGGAACAGCAAGGGAATCCAGGCTGGGGCTCCAGAGATGCGCTCTACTACTTCAAAAAGTCCGAAGACAACCAGAATCCTTATTTAGCTCGCACACCGTACCACGCGACAGGTGGTTACCTAACTGTCCAAGAAGCACCTTGGCACACCCCACTGGCTGCGGTGTTCGTTCAAGCTGGCCAAGAAATGGGCTACGAGAACCGTGACATAAACGGCGAACAGCACACCGGCTTCATGATCGCCCAAGGTACGATCAGAAGAGGAAGCCGATGTTCCACTGCCAAGGCCTTCCTTCGGCCAGCCAGACTGCGCAAGAACCTGCACATAGCGATGCACGCGCACGTGACCAAGGTCCTGATTGACCCGAAATCAAAGAGGACTTACGGCGTTGAATTCGCCAGGGACGAGAAGATCTTCCGCATCCGGGCTAAAAAGGAAGTGATTCTATCGGGAGGAGCAGTGAACTCTCCTCAGCTGTTGATGCTATCAGGAATAGGACCCAGGGAACATCTGCTCCAACAGGGGATCCCAGTGATCCAGGACCTGAGGGTCGGTCAGAACTTGCAGGACCACGTTGGTCTAGGTGGTCTGACGTTCATGGTGAATCAGCAGATCTCTGTAGTGGAGAAGAGATTGCACAATGTGCAAGCAGTGATGCAGTACGCCGTTTTTGGCGATGGTCCTCTAACCGTGCTAGGAGGTGTCGAAGGTCTGGCCTTTGTTAACACCAAGTACGTGAACGCCTCCGATGATTTCCCGGACATCGAACTGCATTTCATATCAGGGTCGACGAACTCTGACGGAGGTAGACAAATCAGAAAAGTTCACGGGCTTACCAAGAGGTTCTATGATGCTGTTTTTGGGACCATCAACGACAGGGACGTGTGGAGCGTGATACCTATGTTGTTGAGGCCGAAAAGCAAGGGTGTCATCAAGCTGCGTAGCAAGAATCCCTTCGATCATCCACTTATCTATCCGAACTATTTTAAAGAACCTGAAGACGTGGCCACGCTAGTGGAGGGGGTTAAAATAAGCGTCGCTTTGAGTAGAACTGCAGCATTCAGACGTTTTGGCAGTGAGCTAAATTCGAAACAATTCCCTGGTTGCCAGCATATACCCATGTACAGTGATCCTTACTGGGAATGCATGATCAGACAATACTCTGCGACTATTTATCATCCAGTAGGTACGTGTAAAATGGGTCCTTATTGGGATCCAGAGGCTGTGGTGGATCCTCAACTTCGTGTCTATGGTGTCAGTGGACTGAGAGTGATCGACGCGTCCATTATGCCAAATCTCGTCAGTGGAAATACAAATGCACCGGTAATCATGATCGGCGAGAAGGGATCTGATTTGATCAAAGAATTCTGGTTGAAAAGACGAGGAAGGGGTTGACGGGAAATCAGTGAAGCAGAATTCAGTGATCTGATTTAAAACTGTGTTTTCTTCTGTTGTGAAATTAAGAGTTCTGTGAACTACTGTAGATTCTTCTTATATTGCCAAAGATAAACCTGCAGGAGTGGAAATTTTCTATTATTAGAAATAGAAATATGATGAGATATAATTGTTATAATTGTGTTCAAGTTCTTGTTTGAAAAAGAGAAAAAGTGAAATATGATAGTGGAAAAGCGGCAATATAAGGAGAGGCTACTGTAATTAAAGTAGGAGGTTTGTAAATATTCATAGTGTATAGAAATTGTAAAATGAGGCTGGACAAGTGTCGACGGTGGTATGAAGTAACCATACAGATTTCATCTAAAGGCTTAGATTACCTTCACTAGGTCACCTTCATTAAACATCTTTGGGAATTTGTTTCGAAATTCCTAATCTCATTCTGGGTGTACTTCCGAAAGGCCTCCCCCCTAGGGCAGCCAAACTTTCTAGTAATTGAGTAATATATTAATTGATAAATTCGAAGTTTGGCTGCCCAAGGGTGGGTGAGGGGTGGCCTTTTCGAAATACATCTCCACGCGGGGGAGGAGTTTTAGTGGATAGGGTGCTACCCCTCGTGGGTGGTACGAGTCCCACACTGCCCGGGCGTCCCTTAGCCGAATAGTGCGAAAAGGGCTGCTCCGCGCGTACTTACCTAACTGTAAAAAAAGTATATAAAAAAAAAAGATTAGATTAGATGGAGTAGCCTTCGGGAATCAATTTATGACGTCATTTGTGATAATTATCTCTAGTTAAGTCTAATTTACGGACTAACTACTAGTTACCAGTAACTCTGAAACTGTTAGAGATCCAGCTCTGTAATTAGCCTCAATCAATTCCACGTGTGCTAAAACCCCTATATATAGACTCTCATCCACCTGGGGGAGGGGGGGCTTTCGGAAGTTTCCCCCTCATTCTCATTATAGATGCTAATTCTCATTTTTTTATTACACTCATATTTCGCCATTTAAGTGTTATATATATTTAGTATAATAAAATAAATAATCATCTATTTAATAATAACGTTTTCTAAGTAAAATGTTTATTTATTTATTCATGAATCCTTCTGGCTTTAGTGTGATTATTTTATTTATTAGAAATTATTAGAAATTTAGATAAATGGAATCTTCAATCCTTTTAATTTTTATTCATCAATTGTTGGGAGGTTCTAATCATTTGTCATTAATTTACTATCTCTACTATAAATATTAATTTGCCCCTACTACAAAGAGGCAACTCATGGTTTTTACTTGTCGTTTACGATCCCCCTCTTAAATTTTCTTCCTGTCACGTTTGATCAACATTTCGCTTTGATTTCAATCAGACAAGCAAGTATACATTGGAAATGTACAACAGCTGACCCTGCAAAACTTTAGTGTCTGTCACCGAAGACTGACGTGGTCTGAACAGAAAGTTAAGTGTCAGTTACTGATGATTGGCGTGGTAATTAATGTGTAAACGTTAACGTTTCGGTCGTTCTTATTTAAACAGTCGACTCTTTTAATTCTTTCGACTTAATCATCTTCGTTAAAAGCCAAACTGACAAGCTAATGCATAGACAGTTAAATCTTGTAAACAAGGTACAAGATAATTTTATTTTTGGACGTCGTTGAATATCAAACGTTGATTGATGGTGTTGTATTTGAAAGATTTAAAAAATCAAATAGCAGCTAGTATATAAGTGGTAAAAAGCGATTGATTTCAGTAATAATTAATTTTTTCTTTCTCATTGTGTGTGATTACATTTAATGGATTGAATATTATTTCAGAATTTTGTAACTACAAGAAGATATAAATTTGCTGAAAAGGGCTCCTCATAAATTAAGGTACAGAAAATAATTATTCTTTTCACTGAAAAAGGAATATTTCTATAATTGTTATTTTTCCAATTTATTCACGATCGAGCATTTATTTTAATTCTCTCAACAACTTCACTTGACTCAACAGTAATGAAATAAGCATAACAGTAAAATTAAACGAGAATAAACAGTTCACGATAACGAACACGACAGGGAAATCGATACAAAAGAAAAATACATCCAAGATTTATTTCATAACGCATAAACAATTATGAATATGAAAAACGATTGATCTTGCATAAACAATTCCACGCAATTTGTTTCTGCTGACGAAGGAATGCACAAATTGTAATACAATGTTTGATGTAATTTGTTTTTATCTTTTGAATTATTTTCTTATTGTTAATTAAAATTACAAATATTGTTCCGTTCCGAGGAACCCGCGGTACGAGGATTTCGAAAGTTAATTTATGACGGTTTCGCGACGGTACAGCTATTTTTGAGTAACCTTGTAATATTGCCGGCAATAGTAATTTCCCTTTTTGCAACAATGGAGTTAGAGTTTTATTTTTTCGTTTCGGTCTCAATGGCTAAAACATGTCATAAATTGAGTCTTTCCGAAGGGTAATTTGACAACGGTCATCTAACGGTACGGGGCCTTCGAAGGCCAACCTGGATGGAAAAACCCCGGCGTTGTCGAATTTTCGAGGTCCTCCGGTACCTCAGGTACCACTCCACCCTCTCCTGACGAAATCGCGCTAAGGGCGTAAGGAAGAGTGGACTCGGTGCTTGAGGGATGCGCTGATTGGAAAGTTGAATTTTTCGAAAAAGGCCAATCAGCGTAGTCTCCCCGCTCATCGAGAAAAATCGAGAGAATAAAAACAGTGACTTTCGAACGCGAAACAACACTTCGATAGACTTTTCTGAGTTTACAGAGCGATCGGTCTAACGTTTTATTCGATTATCGGAATTACTTAATACTATTGTTTCAAAATTAATTTGGCTAAACAAGCGTCGACAAACATTCGCGACGCAGTTGACGAAACATCGTTCGGTCCGTCAACAAATATTTTAAATACCTAGAATAGATTTTGATGAAATTTCTCGAATACAATTAACCAAATAATTAAGTGCATAATTATACAATTCTTAACTTTCCACAATTTCAGTATCTTCTACAGATCGATCAATCAATCAATCAAGAAGAATGGCAGATGTTGGTAGAATCTCTGCAATGCGAATTGCTCTGTCTTACGGACCAGAACTAACTTTCTTGATCGTACTACGAGTTCTTATAGGTCTGTACAGGCCTGATCTGACCGATAGAGTTAACCGAGTAAGACCAGTTCCCTTAACGAAAATTAATAGCAGTTACGATTTCGTGATAATTGGGGCTGGTTCTGCTGGTTCGGTATTGGCAAATCGTTTGTCGGAAAATGGAAATTGGTCGGTGCTTTTACTCGAGGCTGGCGTGGACGAACCAGACCTGTCGGATGTGCCTGTCGTGTATGCGGGTCTGCAGATCACCCCGTTGGATTGGCAATATCAAACTGAACCTTCGGATAATTATTGCAAGGCGATGAATGATAATAGGTGCAACTGGCCACGAGGCAAGGTATATTTTTCATTTTCTGAATTTATAGACTTATGGAATTGCATGGTACTGGGCACAATAATTAAGTTTTTGCAGTACTATCGATCAAATAATATTGCAAATCGAAAGGCAATTAATGGGAATATTTCAGGTGTTAGGTGGAAGTAGTGTGTTGAACGCGATGATGTATATTCGTGGTAACAGAAGAGATTATGACAATTGGGAAAGCATGGGTAATCCAGGATGGGATTACAAGAGCGTGTTGCCTTACTTTATGAAGTCCGAAGACATAAATATCAAGGAGTTTCAGAACTCCTCTTATCATAGTAAAGGTGGACCGTTGACAGTGGAAAAGTTTAGGTATACCACGCCTGTGACTCGTTATTTGGTGCAGGCAGGAACTGAGATGGGATACGATATCAGGGATTTGAATGCAGACACGCAAAGTGGATTTACCTTATCGTCTGGCACAGTGAGGGATGGATTAAGATGCAGCGCCGCGAAGGCTTTCCTTCGACCAGCCTCGAAGAGAAAGAATCTAGATATCAGCGTTCGTTCAATGGTAGAGAAGATTTTGATACGAAATGGTGAGTTCTATTAACTCTTTGAGGGGCACATATAATTTGGAACCCCAACAAAAATCTAAAAAGTACTCACATGTTGAAAAAATTTGCAAATTAATTCCGAACTAAAGAAACAACTAAAAACAAAAAGGTGGTACAAATACGTACCACAGTCCCACAAAAGATTAAAGGTCAAAATGACTTTTTACCCTTCTATTCGAGATCGTTCATTTGATACCTATTACTCAATTTACAGATGGAAAATTCAAAACTGCTTATGGTGTACAATTTCGAATCGGAAAAATGCTTCGAACGGTAACAGTAAATCGTGAAGTGATCGTATCAGGTGGTTCGATCAATTCACCTCAACTATTATTGCTGTCTGGAATTGGTCCAGAGGATCATTTAAAGGAAATCGAAATTCCTGTGGTTCATCACTTGCCAGGTGTAGGTAACAATCTCCAGGATCACGCGGCGATAGGTGGATTAAATTATCAGGTTACTAAGCCGAAAAACGACACTACAATCGACAATTTCTGCTTTAATATTCGGACAACCATCAACTTGAAATCGCTCAAAGATTTTGCTATTAATCATAAAGGAACACTCTACTCGACACCCATATCCGAAGGAACGGGTTTCATCAAAACCAAGTAAGTAATATTAGATTTAATAAAAATATTACTACTAAAAATACTTTTTTGAAAAGTTGCCATAAGCAATAGATAATTTATTCAATAAATAAATCCTGTTTCCAGATTTGCGAACCAATCAGATGATTATCCTGATGTACAATTATTAATATCTTCTGCTGCTGACAATACAGACGGTGGACTAAATGGAAAGAGGGATAGCAATCTTCGTGACAGTTTCTACTGGAAAATGTTCGAAAATGTTTTATATCAGGACTCGTATATGATTATTCCGTTGTTACTGAGACCTCGAAGCAGGGGATACATCAAGCTACGTTCGAGTGATCCATATGATCACCCCATAATCGTTCCAAATTATTTCGACGACCCTTACGATCTCAAAGTTTTGGTACGGAAACGTTATATTTAAAAAATTAATAATTTACAATAATTAGATACAATTTTTACATTAGCTGTTAATTATTACAGGCTGAAGGAGCTCAATTCGTACACGATATGATCGAGACGCCAACAATGAAATTTTTAAAGACTCGACCAAATCCGAATAAGGTTCCCGGGTGTGAAAAATATAAATACCCATCGAGCGAATATTGGCAGTGTTTAGCACGATATTACACGCTCACGATTTATCACCCTGTGGGAACGTGTAAAATGGGACCTTCCAGTGATCCTATGGCAGTAGTGGACCCTAGATTAAAGGTACACGGTGTTTCTGGACTACGAGTGATCGATGCTTCGATCATGCCCAATATCGTTTCTGGGAACACGAATGCACCGACGATCATGATCGCCGAAAAGGCTGCTGATATGATTAAAGAAGACTGGAAAATTCGAAAAAATGATTCCTAAATTGAACATCAAAGTTCAAAAAAATTGTTGTATTTTTGTTTTTGTTATCGCACGATAGCCGATCAAATATAAACGAGACTATTTGTAAAAATGTTAAAGCATTACCAAATAAACTCCAAATTATTGTTTTATCTGGTGTTCATTAATATTTAGAGCTTTGATTAGATATATTACAGCGATGATTAATATTTATCATAATAGAAGATATATGAGCCTTTCAGAAATCAAAGTGATTATTCCACTTAATGAATTATTAAAAATTTTATCAGATGCTCTATTTTTTATTTTGTGGAATTAATCAATTTAGCTAATGAGTGGCTCATATATCAACCCTTCATCTTGAATGGAATCACAGAAAGCAAAATTATTCACACACCATCGAGTCTCTTCCACCACTTGTATTTCACTCCATCACGTATATCCAAAATGTGAACTGCGATATGTTTCATTTTTCTGGTAAAACTAGCATAAGTTGCTTAGCCAGCTTAAGTGACCGAGTAAGAGAGACCAGTGTCGCAATCACAAAATAACCAAAGTGGATTGTTTCATAGCAGCAGGTAAGACTCAAGAAATATCTGCAGTAATCATTGTGATCCGAAATCATGGTGTTTTATTTTCAAACAGTGCTCTTTGTATTTGTTCATTTTGTGAAAGAGGATTCGGTGCTATTCTGCATCTGAAGGGTTTGATACGTGATCGCTATGAAAGAAGTAATGGTTCTAGTTTGTGCTGAGTGGGTGGAATGGTGGAATTGTGCTTTAAGAATGAAAATGTTTAACAAGTGAACCTGTGTTGAAGAACCTGTGAAGAACGAGTTGTATAGATGATTAAAGTTAATGCAAGAACGAAGGAAACTTCACGATAATTTACGAAAGTAATTGGCGAAGTAAACCAATTTCGAGGATACGATTCACTAGAGTTTACGTAAGCGAAACTTAAAGTAAAAGTTCCAAAGATAGCACTATTGTACAAAATTCTTTAAAACGATGACTAAGTGTATCGTAATTGACGTAAAAGGCCTGTAATGACGTAAAGTAATTTAATTTAAATTTTTTATTCACGAAATCACCGTTAAATGAGAATTGTGCAACAGTTCAATCCGATATACTCCATCGCTAATACTTGGCGTGCTTGCACGATTTTTGAATTATGTTACGATAAGATGAAAGATAAAAGTCATTTAACACCAGAAAACTTGAGTAAAATCTCGTCATTCGACGAAACTTAAGAAAAGAATAATAACCAGATATGTAGCTCTCAAAACGTGCAAAATTTCAATTTTTTTCTTTTCATAATCAAAATTCAGTGTTTCTTATCGTACATATTTCCAAGAAAAATTTAATCTTCTATGCATTCACGTACCTTTGATGTAATAAATTAAATTCCTGTCGTAGATTCGAAATTTTCTTCCTCATCTTTTTCACTGTTCATTGTGTATTATAAAATAGGTATTACCGATTAAAATATTATTCAATTTTGGATTGATAAACGCAATCATCTAAGGATTACCTGTAATACCCCAGGGTATTATTTATCAAATATGTATTAATAACAGATAATAAATATTAATGCCTAGTTCTGATTTGAAAATGTAGATTAGTTCTACAGAAAGATTGAAAATGTAACAAATTAGGGTCAATAACAATAATAGTGGTAATGGTCATAATAATAATACTGATAATTCCAATATATCAATCTTCGTTTTTCATCAAATGAAACAATTAAACGCTATTATAAATCGAATATTTCACAATAATTACAAGATACACCGATAAACAAGTCAATTTTTATTACTGAATTTATTGTACTTTCTCTTTTCACGATAAAGGATAACAAGCGAGTTTTGTGCAAGGAATTGCAAAATGGAAATTCGTTGTTAATTTTAGCAACCTTAACCATACCTCGTAAATCCGGTTTAAACGAACCGCTGCAAAACTTGTGCAAAACTTGTATGTATAACTTACACTCGAATGCAGGAAGTAAAACTTGAATGTATACTAGCTACGACTAGTATTTATATACTTCTTTTATATAATATCATTGTTCAGCTGATGAATCAAGATCAGTACATTTCTTTCTTTTTTTCCTCTCCAAGTAACACAAGGTTCATTGTTGCAAAATTTAATAGTATGTGTCGACATTTATAAAGGAATGGTATAATGTTTAAAAATGGAAAAAAGATCTAAAATGGTACATGAAACAATAAGCATCGAGGAAAAAAGGCAAGAAAATCAGGAATCTGGTTAAAAATAAAAAGTTATTAATGTATTATCTCCCACGATCACGATCCTATAGAACACACGTGTGTGGTACACGTGCCAAACATATGTGATGTGAGATTGAAATATTTAGATATTTCCGAGTTCTGGCACAGCAGATTTTAGACCAAAATTGGTAAAATAATAATCTATATGATTCTATGAATTTCTTAATTTAATTACGATCTCATAAAAATATAATTAAGAGAAGAATAAGAAATAAGAAGTAATTAAACGTTACTAATGATTTAGAAATCTCTATAACGTAGTTTTTAATTTTGATCTCACAAAGATCAGAAAATGTATCTAAATGCTACCTGTTATCATAGAAATTTTATTTTTCAATTAGTGGTATCTTGTTGGATTACATATCGCAAAACAACTGATCAACAAGAAAATGTTACTCATAAGTTTCTGATAATGATCTGTAACTTAACACTTCTCAAAATTGATAAGACACATATGAGATAACTTATCTAATTCGTTGTAATCCAATATAATTAACGCCTAAAATCAGTTAATTTCATTGTGAAGGCTGATGTATGCGGAGTGACACATTATAATTTTCTACTTGACACGTAAGTGTTAATTCATAAATAACTCTTTTAACCATTTATTTCTAATTTCAATTAGAAATTTTTTTACTGTTGGTTTAAGTATTATTTTTAGTATTGATAATTCTCGAAATCCTGATTCGGAAAATATTAATTTTAAAACAGGTATTATGATCATTAATTATTGAATATCATAATACTTAATATACAACTAAAAAATAGGCAAAATTTTTCCTACTTTAGTTGACATCCCTACGCCATCCCTTTACGAACGATTCAACAATGCATTCGAGTTTCTTTAAATACAGAGAAAGATGTACTCATGCAAACCATATGCATCTCTAATGACAAAACAAATTTTTGAGCATCAGTGGTTCCAAAAGACCGCCCTGATGCCTGTCTCTGTTCTATCAGCCTCCACCCAAACACGTTTCGTCGATGCTCGATCCTTCCCCACGATCCTCCTGGCTTCATTTTGCACAAAGCGTGCCACAGTTCAACATAGTGTGTTCCAGTGGTTCACCGACTGAATGACGTCAAACCACAGCTCTTTCTCCGGAAAAGAGCTAGTGTTCTCGCTTCGCCACATGATACGTGCTTCTTAATTAGCGTGTCTAGTGTAAGAGTGGCCGCGGAAGTGGTTCAGTTGAATGATTCACAGTGAGAAAAACGTTGGAATCCTGGTTGCATCGGACTTTCTCACGTAGATACCTTCGATTCTCTTAAACGAGCTCCTCTTTGTGTTGATCCTGATTGAAAAGAGCATTTGCTCCAGCCACCCGAATGTCTGCGTATCTCTGTCCTCCTGGAACCACTAGCGGCGTTCTTTCCCGAAGAAATTTAAGGTAAAATCGTTTCTGATATCGTTTATTGATCATTGATCTGTCCTTGACAATTGTCAAATTTCTTTTATTTCTTTTATTTATTAATTTGAATACATTTTTAACACATTGACTGTCACTGCGAAGACACGTGTAGTAAAATATGGTGAAGCTTTAATTAATTATTAAAGGTATTAATAAAATTTCATAGAAGATTATTTTATGTTTCAACATAATGGAATAAAGGGTTGGCGATAACAAAATATTTCCAATTGCTTCGTTTTTCTTCGAGAAATAAAAAATGTCTGCGAATTTCTTTCAAATAACTTTCGTCGAATTTTTCATAATTTTCACAGAAATAAATCACTGCAACTTTCGAAAGTGGCAGTGGTCTAGAGTCAAAACGAGCAACCGATTAATTTTTCTCCCCTGATGTCAGAACTTTCACGCTGAGAGCATTTCAAGCCGATTCAAGCGTACAACAAGCAGAATTATGATTTATCACGACCCACACGAGCCCCTTATCTCACCGGAAAAGAGCTCTTCGAATCTCTTTTTTTTTTTTTTTTTCGTTACAATGACGTTACAGATTACCGACTCCTCTCTCACGGATAAAAACTTTCCCGTAGAAAGATAGTTCGCGTTTCTTCCAATGATCCGCTGCATTTACAATCTGATTTCAACTTCCTGGTTCCTGCTTCAGAACGATTTATCTTTGTACTGTACGATTAGCTCGGTTTTAGTTCGATCGGTGAAACTGTAATTCGATTTCTGACGAGTTTCATGAGTGTATCAACTTTCACGTTGAATGTTATTTCACATCTCGCTAGGCACTTGTAATTTCTCCGCTCGTTACGAATAAACGTAACGTTATGAGTACCCTTTGTTGAGTATGAATAGAGAGAGTCGTTCAACGAATCACTCTTTACACAATTTATTTTCTTTATTACCTGTTGCGTTTGAGATTCGTAAGGTACACATTGGAGATTTCCATTTTTCTGATGAAATTTCATCAAAGTAAAGCAATACTGTGCGATAATTAGCTGTACTTTCTCCAAATATTATACTAAATTACAAGTAACTTTCGCTATAGTTCCTGATTGAAATCCGTCAAAGAAGAATACACGAATTTCTCTACGAGCTATTGTTTCTTGCAATTGATAATTAGTTGCTTTGTATTAAGAATATTGATGAGAACCTTATATAGCCATTTTTGTTGAACTCTCCCCTTTAAATTCATATATGATAAGTAATATTTCCTTATACTTTTATGTCATGAAATCAAGTCAGACTCTTTTTCTGTATGATATGATTTATTACTGTCCTTTTTTATTGTGAATATTCGCAAAGCGTTTCATGTGTAAGTGTTATTATGACATAATATAAGTGCTATTAAGAGTTGGAATAATTCAAATAATTATTTTTTCTTCACAGGTGACACTGGCCTCTAATCACATAAAATGAAACTATACATCCTGCTCTCACTGCTGCTACAATTAACATTCACATTTCAACTAAAATTTCCTGTAAGTAGAACAGTTATTATAGTAATATTACGTCTTTCTAAAGTATGGAATTGCTTGCTGATGATGGTGAATTTGTTTTTCTTCGCAAAGTGGAATTCTTCGAAATTGACACGTATCAAATTTACGAAATTCCGCCAAACTTTAAACGTTATTTTCGTCCTTCTATTATTTTGAAATATCCAGAACGCGAAATCAAATTACGCAATTAACACAGAACAAGGTGAAAGCGATTTAATTGAAGAGATCGTTAACTAGTTTCAGACTAGCCAACTGGACACAACCAACGAAACCTCAGGATGTTGTTACTGCAGTTTCAAAGACACATCGTACATGGAGTCCAAGTGTGGTGTGAAAACTTCTTTCATGACTTTGGTTGAGAAACTGTTCGAATCGCGATGCGACATATCGAATGCTTGCAACAGGCTCGGAAGTGAGCAACTACCTTACGAATGGTAAGAAATTCTTCACTGATTTATCAAACTTTCGATCCTTCATTAATCTTAATCCAATTACTTGAATTTCGTACATAGTCGATGAGAAAGAAACGTATAATTATAAATTTTAATTGGTGTATCAGAAATATCGCGATACTTTTATGTCATGAAATCGGGCTTATATTAGACTTTCCACATTTTGAAATCCATCATCTGACATGTAACAACCTAATAAAACTGTTTCGAAACTTATTGTACAACACTTTTCAATCGAAATATGAATTATTAATTTATAAAAATTTAGGTTCGACTTCATCATAGTCGGAGCTGGTGTAGCTGGCCCTATAATTGCTCGAAGACTAAGTGATTATCCTTGGTGGAGAGTCCTGCTAATTGAAGCAGGACCCGAAGAACCAACAATGACTTCGATTCCAGGACTCGCGTTCCATGCTGTTAATTCGACATTAGATTGGAATTATAAAACGGAACCTGCAGTACCTCACCCAACAGCATGTTTAGGTAAGTCATTCATTAAAGTACAATAACATCAGAAGAAAGAAATTAAATTTTCATTGAAATTTCAATGAATTATTTGAAACTCTAGAAACCGACGGGGTGTGCACTTGGCCGCGAGGAAGAATGGTTTCCGGAACCGGAGGTCTGTACGGAATGATGTACGCCCGAGGGCATCCGGAAGTTTACAATAGCTGGGCTAGGGGTGGAGCGAGTGGTTGGTCCTACGACGAAATCGTCCACTATTTCGAACGAGCCGAAGATCCTATCGATCAATCAATCCTATCTGACAAGCCCAGAACCGTGCCCATACCAGGTCCCATGAAGATTCAGTATTATTCCCACAAGCCCGCATTTGTCGATGAAGTATTGAAAGCTGCAGCCGAATTGAACTACAGAACAGCTAAATTGAAAGAATACACGCAGACAGGTTTCATGGTAGCCCCGATGGTAACTGAAAATGGGATACGCGGTACGACATCCAGAAACTACCTGAGACCAGTCCATGGGAGACAAAACTTAAAAGTCTTAATTAACGCACAAGTAACGAAGATTCTGATGAACCAATGGGAGAACAGAGCGTATGGTGTGGAATTAATAGACAAAGACGGCTTCAAGAGGATCGTAAAAGCTAGCAAAGAAGTGATCCTATCAGCTGGTACCATTGGATCCTCTCAAATATTAATGAACTCTGGGATAGGTCCTAAGGAACACTTGACCAAGCTTGGTATACACACGTTCAAGGACCTGCCTGTGGGTCAGAATCTCCACAATCACGTGTCAGTTGCTATTCACTGCAGCATTAAGGACACTGCCTATGAACCTATGACGATGGACAGTGTCAACGAGTATTTGGAAACAAGGACCGGTCCTCTGAGTAGCACTGGACTGACCCAAGTGACTGCATTCCTCGAGAGCAGTTATGCTGTCACTGGTGTACCTGATATTCAACTGTTCTTCGATGGATTCTCACCGAAGTGTCCCAAAACTGGTTTAGAATTCGAGTGCCTAAGCGGAGCTCTAGCTTTATGCCCTGACAGGAGACAGATAGTGATGAGACCGACTGTGGTCACCGTGGCTAGTCGTGGATACATGAAACTGCGATCTGCCGATCCAGTTGCTCCACCTTTGATTTATCCTAATTACTTCACTGATACTAAAGATCTGAAGGTACTGGTTCAAGGTATCAAGAAATCTATCGAACTGATGAACACGAGGACTATGAAGCAGTGGGACTTAAAACTGGAGTCTGTGATTCATCCCCTTTGCGCCAAGTAAGAATTCTTTTAATTGTGGATCCTTCGCATTCATTGATGAACTAATCGTTTTCTTTCTCTAGCTATCATTTCGGAAGCGACGCTTATTGGGAGTGCTACGTAAGAGCCGCCACTGGACCAGAAAACCACCAGTCAGGCACTTGTAAAATGGGTGCATACGATGACCCAACAGCTGTGGTGGATCCGGAACTTCGAGTGCGCGGAGTGATGAACCTTCGAATTGCCGACGCTTCCGTGTTCCCGAGTGTGCCAAACAGTAACCCTATCGCTGCTATAATGATGATCGCCGAAAAGGCAGCCGACATGATCAGGCATACGTGGACGAAGGTGTGAACCATGATAACATTGACGTACACTTGAGTGCATCGTAGCGTTTCTACTGACTATACCTACACTCTCCTCCCTATTTCTTTTCCAAATCATTTTTATAATTAATATCGTGAAAAATAAAATTTTATGAATTCCTGCTTTCCATTTTTCCTAGGGAAGCCTACTTTGCACAATGCTGTACATATTTCTTAAGATGTTGAATTTTTTATCTCGAACGTTAATGTTACGTGTGTACACTCTGACATCTACTATCGTATGATATTTTACACGTGTGATATTTTTCGCTTGATACTAGGCTGTTGCATATGAAATGACCGATTTATGTATAGAACGTTCAACGATTATAATTTCGTTAAAAATAACATTTATTAATCAAAACTACGAATCACTTTAGGGATTCCTATCTTATCATCGAAATTTGTCAAACTAATGCCATATTGTGTGTTCATTAGCTGTATTGCAAATACAAATATCAAGTCAACTTGATGTTTCATTCACTTTATATATTTTTTTACTGTTTAAAAATATATGTAGGGGAGACCGGGGTTAATTGACTAATTGGGTTAGTTGACTAATTGCCTTTAAGTTTTACATTACATAATAGATGATGCCTTTATTCGATGTTTTGAGACATATGAATGTCTAGCCCACCATGTTCATTCGTTATTGTTATATAATTTTGCATTTTATATCAGTGAGAGCAAAAAATCTAAAACTGTTGACGGTAAGTAAATATTGAATTTTTATCCAGTAAGTACTTCTTGATATTTTTTTGATATACTAAGTATGATATACTTAGACTTAGTCAAGGCGGCTTTAAAAATTGGCCTGTATACCTTAGTAAATGTGTAAACTTTTAGTATGCAACAAGCCAACAAAATACCAATGGTTCATTTATAAAAATTAAATATGTTAAAAATTAGACAACTAGCCCCGGTCTCCCCTACCTCTGAGTCTAATGAAACCTTCGTAAAACAGATATGTGATATTTCATTTTTTATTACGATTGCATACTTTATATACACGTATATATTCAGTAAAAATATATACTCTGTTTTATATGAGTAATTATTTTGCTGTTTGTGGTCAGGCACGTACGTATTCCGTGCGCAACGTAAAAACAGTTTAAAATAAATATTTCATTTGATATTAATTCAAATTAAATATTGTATTTTAATAAACAACAACAGCTTTTAAGCTCCCAAAATACCAGATTTTTATCTAAAATATGAAAGTGGGTAACATTGATTTTCTCAGAAAACATTATCATCTATTGTCAAACTGATATTGTGATCGAAATAACTTGGGTCAAATTCGTGATCCTTATACAATGCCCATTGTAGTGACTATTTTAAGTGAATTTAAATGCTTTAGCTTTTGAGATAAAATACTTCCTGTTTCTTATATTTTAAAAAAGTACAGTCCGAAAATGTTGCTTTTAATTGTTATATTACTTCCTAAATGAATAAAGATGTCTTAAATGACTTGAAGATCTTCCTATTATTGCTATTTTATATTTACAAGGTCAACAAGAGTCGTACAGGTAGAAGTTTTCCACGATACTCGTATCGGATAAACCATATTACATTACCGTCACGTTTCGCGTTTCATCCATCGAAAAAATAGAAAAAATAAATAAATTTAAAAAACAGTGCAAAAATTAAATGAAAAGTAAAATTATCGAATGAAAAGTATATCTACATTAATTAGGTTGGCAACTAAATTTATAAATAGATGTTCCCTTCTGTAGAATTATTTATTAAAATTCAACAAACAATTTTCAATCAATGTAAGTAACATTTGAAATAACAATCTTTTAAGATATTTACCAGTGATAATTTATTTGATTTCCTTACATTAAATGCATCTGACTATTTGAAATAGAATTTCATTTTAACATATAATTAACTACATAATTTATTACATGCAGCCGATAAGATTTTTCCTACGAACCGTTGTATACGGTAAAAAAATAAAGATATATAGAAAAGAGAGAAGAAACTCATAAATAAGACGCGAGCGACACGTAAGAGTCAAACGTAGTTCTGTGCGCTTGAAGAATGTTTCTATCTTCGATTTGTGCTGAGAAGTAGATTAGAATTCATGGAATTTTAATTTTTGTGCTTCGTTATTTTTTTTTAAACATCTATTGGTTAGTTGAATTTCAATAATTTTTTAATAAAAATCCATTTTGCATTGTCCTATTTACAAATTTAATGACGTGAAAATTAGTGACGTGAATGTTCAGAAACCATTAGAACGTCTATTTGATTTTCCCAATTATCAATGGAGTATAGTATCTAAACTTAACATCATTTGACAAATTACTAATAGTTTATTCATTTCAGAAAGTGAAATCAACCTGTACAAAAAAAAAAATTAAAAAAAATTTTTTTTTAAATAAAAAAAAGAGACCCTGAACGCCTAGTATTACATTAGTTGAACTTCATTGCGTCTTTGTAACTTCCCTGACTGAATATTATCATTGATTCCAGATCCACGATGGAGTCGTGTATGGCAACAGGTTGTGCCGCAGCGCTATCATCAGTGCCAACTTCCATTTTTTCGCAATTGGTGCATCTGATTCTAATGTCGCAATGTCGCCTAGGGAATAAGGAGGATTATCCTGCAGATCGCAAGGACGAAATTCTCGATTCGAATAGGGAATTCGATTTTGTTATTGTTGGAGGTGGAACGGCGGGAACTGTTTTGGCGCACAGATTAACAGAGATACAGAATTGGGACGTTTTACTGATAGAAGCTGGAGAGGACCCTATTCCTGAAAGCGACGTTCCTGGTCTAATGTTACTTCTGTTTGGTGAATACCAGGATTACGCTTACCAGGTGTGTACTAGTATTTAATTACTAAATTTAAAAATGAATTTCGAATGAAGAAATCTCCAATATTTTTCACACAGGCTGAACCTCAAGAAGAATTCTGTCAAGGCATAAAAAACAAACGGTGCAGATGGTCAAAAGGCAAAGCACTGGGTGGTAGCTCAGTGATCAACGCGATGCTCCACGTATTCGGCAACGACAGAGACTACAACGAATGGGCAAGCTTGGGTAACAAAGGATGGAGCTACGAAGAGGTGCTTCCCTACTTCAGGAAATCTATAAACTGCCCGATGGAACATCTAAGCAAATGGGGAGAGAAACACTGTGGAACTGAAGGACCAATGAATATCAGAAGCTACAATTACACTCAAACAAACTTCCAAGATATCATCTTGGATGGTGTACGAGAGTTAGGTCTGGACGTTCTGGAGCCTCTGATCAGTGATCGTTACATCGGATATGGTAGAGCATTAGGTACCATCGACAGTGGACGACGAGTTAATGGTGCCAAGGCTTTCTTGTCTCCCATCAAGGATCGACAGAACCTTTACGTAATGAAATCCAGTCGAGTGGACAAGATCCTGATGAAGGGTACTCGAGCAACAGGTGTTCGAGTCACGTTAAAAGACGGTCGATCTATTGATATCAAATCAAAGAAGGAAGTGATCCTCTCTGCAGGTAGCATCGCCAGTCCTCAACTGATGATGCTTTCCGGTATAGGACCCAAGGAACACCTGCAACAGATGGAGATACCTGTGGTGGCTGACCTTCCGGTAGGCAGGAACCTGCAGGATCACGTGATCTGGCTTGGAATGCATATAGCCTACTTGAACGAGTCCACCAGTCCTCCGCCGTCCACCTACGCGATGGATATAGCATACGACTACCTGGTGCACAACTCCGGGGAACTGGCTACCGTTGGCATTGATCTACTTGGTTTCGTGAACGTCAACGACCCCAGCTCCAAATACCCGGATATCGAGTTTGATTACGGCCACTTTCCGCGCTGGAACGCGCTCAAAGCAGCCACTTTGCTGAAGGCTTTCAACGCGGACGACGCCCTGGTGCAAGTGATATACGAAGAAATCATGCAAACGGACTTGCTCGTCCCTTGCACGATCCTTCTACAGCCGAAGAGTAGGGGAATGGTCGAGTTACGAAGCACGGATCCAGCTGAACCTGTCAAGATTCACGCGAATTATTTTCACGAACTGGAAGATCTGAGGACGTTGATGAAGGCCGTGGATACTGTTAAGAGTCTTTTGAATACGGAACCGATGAGGAGGCATGGAATGCGATTGAATTATTTTGATATTCCCGGCTGCAGGGACACGGTACCGGATTCTGAAGAATATTGGGAGTGTAGTATAAGACATATAGCCAGTTCGCTGTTCCATGCGGTTGGAACAGCTAGGATGGGGCCAAATGGTGACCCCATGGCTGTGGTGGATCCTAGATTAAGGGTCCATGGTATTGAGAGGTTACGGGTGATCGATGCATCGATCATGCCGAATATTGTTAGTGGAAATACTAATGCGCCGACTATGATGATCGCTGAAAAGGGTGCGGATATGATTAAAGAAGACTGGTCCATGAAATTAAAGGAGGAATTGTAAAGAATTGATAACACTTGAGAAATGTTACAGTTGTTAATGTCTTGAAGTTCTAATCATCGAATGACGATTTGGGAGGGTGTTAATTGATAATTAAGTTTATGATTCATTTTATAATTCACCATTCATCATACCTTCTAGTTTAATACTATGTAAATAATATTGTCATTCTGAAGCACATATCTGTATTATTATAGTAAAAGCCCGAAAAAAATCTTAAAATAAATATAATGGTAATTACAATAAAAATGACTTTTTTGCAGTTGTATCATTGTTTCTTCGGAATAACATGGACCATTTTTCATTACGAAGGCACGGTGCAAATGAGTTGATACGCGAGAAACAAGAGTGCAATGGAATTTCTAATAAATGAAAGTGTGCACTTCGAACCACGGCAAAAACTTTAAGAAAGATACAGGGACAAGAAACAAGCGGCACCAGTCACGTTTCCTTCGAGTGTTTCGTTCAAATCGACTATAGAGGAACCACGATACTCGCGACAAGCCTTCCTGTCGATTCATTTCTGTAAGGACCTTCGTGAAAGCTGCACGAAACAGTTTCATTATTTACAACAATAAAAAGTGATATCTTGTTACTATTACAATTGAAAAATCTACGTGATCATTTAGCATCAATCTATTTTTCTTTTATATTAATAATGTTTGCGGTGGTGACTTGTTGCAGTTAATCGGTGAGCGAAATTATAATAGATTATTAATAATTAGACCTACACAATTTCTCTGATAATAAGAAATTTTAATTATATTTCTTATTCACTTCATATCAAACTATCCGAACTTTTCAATATGTTTAATATTTTTACAATAGAATTTTGTAACTTGAAAGTTTCAATATTTACAATAATTGTACAATTTTTTTCAACAGTATCGAGGCAATTAAGAAGAATCAAAATTCCAAAGATCCCTGTAAAAATCATGTCTTGGGTGCCTCCAGATTTGATAAGTCTTTGTTCACCTCACTCTACAGTTTCAACATGTCAACCACCCACCTTAATGTTCCTAGCATTTATTGCCCATCTATTTGGCCATTCCAAAGATTCTTACTACTCCTCGTTAGACCCGTTAAATCAACCGAGTTCATCGTGGGACTTCGATATAAAAAGACCAAGCCCGCCATATTATCAAGAGCACTTCTCAAGGAAGGACCACTTCGAAACAGATTCCTCCTTTCCAACATCGATAAAGAAGATTTACAGCTCACTTCCAGTTATATCCAACGACGGAAACCATGAAAGTGCTCTAGTTAATGTGAAAACGGCAATTCCGGCCGTGAATTTTGCTCAAGTTTATGGCTTCTATCCTCGATTCGATATCGCCACGGTTTACGACCACGTTGCTGGCCTCGAAGGTAAACGAATTTCGATTTTATCATGGTTAACATGTTTTCTGTCTGTTCACAGTTTCACTACTTTTTTTGCACGAAACGAGCCGAGTTTACGGGGTGAAACTAATGCCCCTGTTTCATAGATGCACACTGTCTATTGGAAATTTGTATTCTAACCCTTTTCAAAAAATATATTATTTATTATTTGAAAAATAATATTTAAAAGATATTAATGAATTTTTGTACGCTACAGTATTCGATAATTATTATTCTTATTCACAGACAAAATCTACAGGAAACCTCAAAGAACGATAAACCAGAATGTCAACACTTTTCCACATTTGCCAAATTTTGGTGACAATCTGGGATACCAAAATCCAGCTGTACAAATTATCCAAAAGACATATGACAACTTGATTGAGAAACAAAATTTTCATCACACCGAATCACCTTTAAATCAACCAATAAATTATATCAGTAATTATGGTAGTTCACATGCAACAGAAAGGATAGAGGCGAGAAGTTCCATAAATTTTCCGCGTGCATCGAAATTCTTGAAGAAAGAATATGATTTCATCATAGTAGGAGGTGGCTCGGCCGGATGCGTTCTTGCTAACAGACTGAGCGAAATAAAAAATTGGAAGGTAACTAATTATTTCATTTTCTTTTCCTCAGAAAACGATTATCGTAGACTAATACAGAAATGAAAGGCAGAACGAAATTCCAAGAGGTAGTAAAAAATTATGGTTTGGAATGTGTCTTTACGACACATGAAAATTATTCCTAAACAGAGTTTCACTGGTCCGACAGTAAATCGCGAATCCATGACTAATATTCTGACAAACATTTCTAAAAATAATTAAATGGCACGCCCTGTATGCTGCTTTTATCGTCGTCAACGTCAAATAATCCAATAACAGATTTAACAGTGTTATACGTTTGAAAGCGTGTTTAATCGGCGCGAAGCCACAGAATAGTCGTAACATAATCATTGACAATCTTGTGTTCTGTGACCCGTTTCAGGGAAGCCCTGACTTTTCATCGAAGGATCATCAAGTTTCTTACTTTCGCTACTGTTTGAACGCAGCTGATTTGAATTATTTTAGCATCAGTTTCAAAGACCCCCACCTACCTAGTATACTAAAGAAAAGAAAAATTGAATTCTAGAAGCTATTTTTCAATTTCTAGGTGCTTCTGTTGGAAGCTGGAATAGAAGAACCACTGGTAGCTGATGTTCCAGCCTTCGCCTCTATGTTGCAAGCTAGCAATATCGATTGGATGTATCGTACACAACCAGAACAACACTCTTGTCGATCGAGAAGGGGTAGAAGCTGTGCATGGGCAAGGGGTAAGGTACGCGTTCGAAAGCTAATTCCAGATACCGCAGTCATCAAATCGTAAATATACGTTTCTCAAAAATTAGTATTATAAATTCAGGTAATGGGTGGTTCCAGTACGATCAATTACATGATTTATATCCGTGGCAATCCTAAAGATTACGATGAATGGGCTGAGAAAGGCAATTATGGATGGAGTTACCAAGACGTCTTGCCATATTTTCTTAAATCCGAGAACAACGAGGATCCAGAGGTGATGAAATTTTATAATTTAGCCCTGAAAAGATGGCCTCGTTACTCTATACTCGATTAATCTCAAATTCTAATAATATCGACCTAATTAACCTGAACCAATTTCTTGTTCAGATCGTTAAAGAGAACCCGTACTACCACAATCAAGGGGGCTACCAGACGGTGGAACGATTTCCCTACACCGACCCGAACACAGAGATTCTAGTAAACGCGTGGCGGGAACTCGGACTCGACCCAGTGGATGCCAACGCGAACAGACAGTTGGGCGTGATGAGACTCCAAATGACTTCGCTCCACGGAGCACGTCAGAGCGCGAACAGTGCTTTCGTAAGGCCTGTCAGACGCAAAAGAAAGAACCTGACGGTTAAAACCCAAGCCCATGTCACCAGACTGCTGATAGACGGTATAACGAAACGTGTGACAGGAGTTGAGTACACTTCAACGATCACAGGATTCAGCAAACTTGTCTCGGCTAGGAAGGAGGTGATTTTATCAGCAGGAACGATCAATTCACCGAAAATCCTTATGCTTTCCGGTATAGGTCCGATGGAAGATCTAAAGAAACACGGGATCAATGTTTACAGCGACCTACCGGTAGGTAGAAACCTTCAGGATCATGTAACAATGGACGGTCTGGTGATCGCGTTGAATGCTACATCGACTACCAAGACTAACCTGGAGAAGAAGAAGGATGTGTTTTATTATCAGAACACCCATAAGGGTCCTTTGTCCTCCACTGGAACCCTCGCCTGTGGTGTATTCCTACAAACCATCTGGGAACACGAACACGGTCTGCCTGACATCCAGTACGCATTCGATGCCAGCAATCGGATGGACTTTCTACGTGACCCTGCAGAGTTTGGGGAAACAGCGGTGGAACCTTTATCTTATTACGATGCCATCAATATCAGACCTATTCTATTGTCACCGAAAAGCAGAGGACTTGTGTTATTGAATGATAGCGATCCCTTGTGGGGTCCACCGCTCATTTATCCCAGATACTTCACTGCTTATCCCGACGCGGAAGCCATGGTGGAGGGAATACGAGCTGCAGAGGAATTATTTCGTACCAATTCTTTTCGAGAACACGGCTTTACTTTCATCGATACTCCTCTGCCAGCCTGTAGACACTTGCTCTTTGATTCGAGACAGTATTGGGGTTGCGTGATGATGGAGTACACCGCGACCATCTTTCATCCGGTTGGTACTTGCAAAATGGGACCCGTATGGGATCCAGAAGCTGTGGTGGATTTGAGGCTGAAGGTATACGGGGTGCATGGGCTCAGGGTGGTGGATGCTTCCATAATGCCGAAGATTATTAGGGGAAATACGAATGCGCCTACTATTATGATCGCTGAGAAAGCTAGTGATATGATTAAGGAGGAATGGTTGTATAGAGATGAATAAATGGGATGTTTTTTGTTATTGTTATTTTTGGATTACATTCAAATTATTGTTATTGATTTCATTGACAAAAATTTATGATAATTAATAAGTTTCACTTTTTAAGGGTTCACTTTGTGTTAATGCAACGCTTCATTTACCCTTTTCTCAGTCAATTTGTGAATTGAATTTTCTATTAGTAAAGAATATAAGCAAATCAGATATCGTGCAGACTTGGATTCATTACGTGTTACCTACTGTTAGGCTCCTAAAGAATCGAACCTCGTTGAACAAAAGTTGTTGGTTACTTAAAATTTTCAAATATAAGAAAAATAAATTTTAATAAATGTCTGTTTTCGTTATTCCTTATCCCTTTTTACAATTTCTTATCCCTCTTCTTCATTAATATTTTCATCAAAATTGTTCTCTTAATTATTTCATTATATTAAATTCGTGGGGCAGGTAACTGGTGACCCCTGCGGTATTCCAGGTATTAACACACTACACTGGAAAAGAACTTACCACCGTAACCATTTAGGAACAAAGAAAACTTTCACGCGAAGGATCCTTCCCGATTTTCGAAATACGCCACTCTCCGGACACGATATTATGGAATTAGAGTGAAAAGTCGGGTCGGTGCAAAGCCGATTTCAAAATCACCTGGGCGAAAGTGAAGTGCTTTTATCGATCGTGCAGTACAAACGCGACGAAGAATGAGAGATATCTAAATAGAAAAGAGTATAGAGAAAGTGGACAAGAAATTTTGGATGGTATCATGTCCGACCTTGAAATTGTCATTTTTAATTAATATTTTGTTTTAAATTTTATCATATGAAAGATCCTTTTATATTAAACAATAGAAGAAGAAAATCTAGTTCCATTTCATTCAAAGTCAGAACAACCTGTATTAGAATTAGAATTTCATCAGCTGTATGTAATCTCTACAACTATGTAAATCATGTTTTTACAGCCTAACATTTATTACCTATTTATATTACAACATTACATGCTATTAATAAGTACAAGAAAAAGAATGTCGTTCTGTTTTTTTCCTCCCTTTTTTTTAACAATGATTGTGACAGTTGTACACAGAGAAAACACTGCTTATTTCACAATATTAATTATTCATTCAAACTTTTTTATTTACCTTTGACACGAAGTTGAGAGATTCAATTTAACTAAAACAGAAAATTCTAACAAGGTTCATGATTACAAAGTAACAAGAGAATTTTATATCATATTAATTATATGACATTATGTATTTTTAAAATAAAATATTCTGAATAAAATTTCATTAATGTGTTATTTACTTGTATAATTTCTGACGTATCGTTGAATCCTTGGCTCACTTTCAGAAGTTATGAATAATATTATAGTTAATAAAAAGAAATTTTAAAGCTATATATCAAGGATTCACCAAAGTTCACCTTATTCAACGAACAGAATCGTTCCATCATTTCGAGTGACGTATTCATGCATCTCCAACACAGTAAACGACATCGTGCACGAAACCACGTGCACCACAGTGACCACAAAAATACATTTCACCATAGTTTGATTGCGAAATCAAAAATTAGGATCACCGACAACCTTGAGGATCTTAATGGAATCTTTAACATGTATCTATAATATTTGCGAACTGAGCTATTATTGAGATATTAATTCACAAAGGTGAAAAGTAATCCATTAACGGTCGGAATTTTTATTTAATTTCAGTTTGAAATTTTGTTAACTGAATCTACAATTTTAGGTTGAGAAACATGAGTTTTACTGTTAAATATTTATTTTTAAAATATCCTAGTGCAAATTAATCTAAATTGCCCCACGAGACTTTAGGGCGTCACTTCATTTTTTTTCTTTTTCTATCAAGATTTGCCACAAGGGCAAATTCCTGGATAATTCTACCCCAGTGATTCATGGGTACCGCAATTTGCCAGGAGATAAGCTTCAAGGCAGTGATGAGACAAATGATAACATAACCAGAGACAGACATCTAATCTACCAACTTCAAATATTCTTTCTATTTTAATATTCTTTTGCACGAGTTTACCTGGAGGGCATACCCATGGGCAGAATTGATTGACAAAGTACGACGTTCCTTATGGGTCAAAGTGGTGGTACCTACAACCGTACGCTTTATACGTCGAACGTAATGTTCGAACACTCAGTCTTTCGCTTTCTCTGCGTCCGCGAGCTGCTCGATCGGTCACTTATTTCACGTGCTTTCGAGCGTGGTCCACGAGTGTGTCCTTTTTGAGGAACGTCGGACGAAACCTATCACGGTACGGATCATCGAAACCACAGTGAAATGAGAATCATTTTACACCTATACAATTATTATTATTGACAGTGTTTATTTATTATTAGATGAAGTTCAATTTTTCTGATCCTATCGAAGCAACGTTTGTATTGAATTCTGAGGCAAATAAAATGAACAGTATTTTCGGTTGTTAAAATAAACGAAATGGTGATATATAGAAATTGAATTTTGACAAGGTCAAATCTGATTCTATCATGATTTTAAAGGGTTAAACCAATTGATAAATTAATACCTTATTTTCTGATACTCGGTATAGATTTATCTAGTTTATAAAGAAGAAAGGGTTAAATTAAAGAAACTGTGTTAATTGATGAAAGGCACGTAGAAAGAAAGTACGTCGGAGTCGGTGCCGAAAAGGTTTGATCGATGACACGATGCCCGTGAACATCTATGTCACTGGACTGCATTGTTAAAAGAAGAAAGTTATGCAAACGTTTCACCTGTACACTTCTTGCTGTTTCTTCTACGTAAACGTGAAGCAACAAATACAACTTTTTCTGGTAGTGAATGGGGCTAGTTAACATGTAACTGAGAAATGATGCTTCATCAACTTCTCGTGACAATTTGTACTCGAGATTGCGTGACTCGAAATGCATAAATCAATGAAATGATTTACGTTCTCGTTGAAAGAGTATCACGTTTATGCAAACGTAAAGTTTCTTTAACTCTTTAAGGATTTTTTCTTAAGCAATTTTTTGTTGAATGATATCTGACAATAACTTGAGTAGAATTCCTTTCTAATCTGACCAAGGTTAATTTAGCAATGTATTTCGAGATAACTGAATGAAAAGGAAACTTCGTAATTTCCAGCATCCTACTCTGAACCCTCTTTTCAAATTTCACTAGAAGTCAATGTCATAATCTTTCTATTCAAAGATCGATTTACATAAAAATGTTGAAATCAACATAAAAAAAAAGTTAAAACGTAATCGTTTACAAATATTTAATCACTGATTAATAATGAGGAATGCAATTTTCAAGAATCATACAAAAATTGCAAAATTAAATTTTGCTATTATTTTTATCTTAATACTTTATATCGTTGGCAGAGGCAAAAAAATAATAAATTATAATAAACTTTTACTATTGATTTGCAGATATTGTGAACAGACCATGAGGAATTTCTCTTTATACTTCAAGAGGAAGTAACCAGGAACAATCAAAATTTGCTGGCTCGTTTGCCATTAAACAAAGTTATAATGCCACCTCTTAGGGCCACCATCATACAAACACACTTAAGCGAACACAAATTATCGTACCACTGCAGATAACGTCAACTCAATCATCAAAAAGATTTTCGTTCGGAAAATTCTGCAAAAATTCGAATACAGAAATGACACTCGCAACAGTGACTTCGGTGGCGATAAAAAGTGCCACTATCCTTCTGGGTAAAGTGGCTATAGTTCCTATTCTGATAGCGGCACTTGCATATTTTAATTACGACCTGATGGATCCTGAAAATCAGCCAAAGGTTACGAAGCAACTGAGAAGAGAGTATGACTTTGTGGTTGTGGGTGGAGGATCAGCTGGAAGTGTGGTAGTGAACAGACTGACGGAAAATCCAGAATGGAACGTGTTACTGTTGGAAGCTGGAGGACAGGAGACAGAGATAACTGATGTTCCAATTTTGTCTATCTATTTACATAAGAGTAAATTGGACTGGAAATATAGGACACAGCCTCAGGATTCTGCATGCCAAGCCATGGTGGATCGACGATGTTGCTGGACTAGAGGGAAGGTGAGATTTTTCGAAATTTTTCAAATTAGTAAGGCGGACTTTTAATTATTTATCAAAATTTCAGGTCCTTGGAGGTTCAAGCGTTCTAAACACAATGCTATACGTTCGAGGAAATCGACGAGATTTCGATCAATGGGAAAGTTTCGGAAACCCCGGTTGGGGTTACGAAGACGTTCTACCCTACTTCAAGAAATCCGAGGATCAAAGAAATCCCTATTTGACTCGTAACAAATATCACGGTGTTGGTAAGATCAACATCTCTAATACCTACGCATGTACTCTAGATCGATTTCTAAAAAAATCTCAAAATTCTGATTCTTTCTAGGAGGATACCTGACGGTTCAAGATTCGCCTTACAACACCCCCCTGGGAGTAGCCTTCCTGCAAGCCGGCGAAGAGATGGGCTACGACATCGTCGACATAAACGGCGAGAAACAAACAGGCTTCGCATTTTTCCAGTATACCATGCGAAGAGGCACAAGATGCAGCGCCGCTAAAGCATTCGTCAGACCCATACAACTCCGGAAAAATTTCCACCTATCCCTATGGAGTCACGTTACCCGAGTTCTAATACAACCTGGAACCAGAAGAGCCTATGGCGTAGAGTTCATCAGAGAGGGTCGTAAGGAAGTGGTCTACGCCCGAAAAGAAGTGATCCTTTCCGCAGGTGCCATAAATTCTCCCCAGCTATTAATGTTATCAGGAATTGGACCTAGGGAACATCTGCAGGAAGTCGGAGTTCCGGTGGTCCAGGATCTGCCAGGTGTCGGGCAGAACCTGCAGGACCACATAGCCGTAGGAGGTTTATCATTCCTCATCGATTACCCTATCAGTACCGTGATGCATCGTCTGGTGAACCTCAACTCGGCTCTACGATACGCCATCACCGAAGACGGCCCACTGACCTCGAACATCGGCCTGGAGTCGGTCGGCTTCATCTCCACCAAGTACGCCAATCAGAGCGACGACTGGCCAGACATAGAATTCATGCTGACCTCTTCGTCGACCAGTTCCGACGGTGGTACCCAGGTGAAAAGAGCTCACGGATTGGCTGATGATTTCTACAACGAGGTGTTCGGAAAGATAAACAGTCATGATCTCTTCGGGGTGTTCCCAATGATGCTCAGGCCCAAGTCTCGTGGATTCCTTAAACTGAGAACGAAGAATCCTCTCGACTATCCTCTGTTATATCATAATTACTTGACTCATCCCGATGACGTGAATGTATTGAGGGAAGGGGTGAAAGCAGCCATAGCTTTTGGCGAAACTAGCAGCATGAAACGGTTCGGTGCCAGGTTTCACAGTAAACCACTGCCCAACTGCAAGCACATCCCTCTGTTCACCGATGAGTATTGGAACTGTGCCATACGTCAGTATACCATGACCATCTATCACATGAGCTGCACTGCGAAAATGGGACCCTCCACTGATCCCATGGCTGTCGTGGATCCTGAGTTAAGGGTCTACGGTGTGGCTGGTCTGAGAGTCATCGATGCTTCCATCATGCCCACCATTACTAATGGGAATATCAATGCGCCTGTGATTATGATAGGAGAGAAGGGTGCGGATTTGATTAAGAAACAATGGTTATCGAGACGAAAAAGGGATAATGTCACGATAATTTGATTTTGTTTTTTCTAAGAATCATTGTTAATGAATGTGAATGTTAATTTATGCTTTTGGAGGTAAGCCTACTTAGGAAGGCTAAAAGAATGTGTACATATTTCGGTGTTTTTTTTTTGTTTTTTGTTTTTTTTTTAAAGATAAATCTATGAACTTTTTTAAATAAATGCCTAATTTTATTCCAAGTTAAAATTTAATCAAATACCACTTTTCGATGGTTAATACGAGTACCAAACTGTGAGTTTACTGTCGAAACTCGCAAACAAATGAGAAGAACGAGATTAAAAGTACATGACCGTATTGGCAAACCGGGGTTTCAACTCTTAAAATTCACTCGTTACCACACACACAATCGATACGAAGCATTGCCGCACACTTGATCGTCTACTACCACTTGGACTGTGACCTATATTCTGGTTTACGAGAAAATTTGCAGAAAATTGGTTCAACTTTTTGATTTCCATTCGAAACAGGATTTGGTGCAACTTTTTATGTGTCTTGAGAAATTGTAAAAGTAGACATTGATCATAAAAATTGATAAAACTGCATATTTACAGTTCGATGGAAGTTGATATATGGAAACTAATGACAGGTTAATTTAGCTACAAAGTAGTATTTATGACTAATGAAATATTTATACGAAATATTTTGTGTTAAATTTTTATGTAATATTTATTCTAATGAGGAAAATAAATTTTTTATTTTTATTAAATATTTCAAAATACTGAACCTACAAAGCTATGAAATATTTTGAAAGAATTGCAATCATATTAATTGCATCGTATTAACATTTTGAATGCCATAATATTCAAATATTGAATTTTCATAAGAATCTGTCACCTTTTTTATTGGAAACGACTCTATTTTACCAATTATGAATAATTTTCTTAAATACCTGTTTTCTTAAGAAAATGAGGTAAATATAAAGAATTCATATTCGGAATGATTTAAATTACTTGAACAGTTCAAAGATCAACTATTCAAAGATTCCAAAGTGCACTGATTCCCATATGTATTCCGGAAACAATTTTCGATTACGTTACCATTACTCGTTCCTAGTTGTAATAATATGTTTACGCTTTCTGAGGAGAGAATGTTTTTATTTCTGCTGTTCCATGCTATATAGTTTTCTGGGTTAACTTGTTTCAAATCGCATTATTAAGATATTGTTTCCTACGGCGAAGGAACTAGGTCATAATTTTTTTCCCTCTTTTGTATCTGTTGCAGCAAATATTGTAAATAAAAATAAATATAAGAACAATACGAAGGAATTTGTTCTAAAATGACACAGTATCTTAAAAGTTTTTGTGTTTTATTAGAATAAAGAAGGTCAAGGAAATCAAAATCTAAAAATATCTGAGGTATCAATTTTTAAAGGGCAAAAAGTGACTTGATTAAATTGTTACGCTCGAAAAAACACTCCGTGAAGAGTGAAGATAAACGAAACCCATCAAAATCACAAATTCCTTGTTTTAAATTACAAAAGGTTCTACTAAGATTTTTGTTATACGATTAATTTTTGTAGCGTTAATAAAAAATTATTTGAGATGTGTCTTCGTTTCATCGTTAGTTCAATAATAAAGTGGTTGATAACTGGTTCAAGCCTGTTTTTATTAAATTGCAAAAAACGTTTCAAACCTTCACTTTGTCTGATATCAAGGGATAAATCAGAATGCGTTCGAAGAGATAAACTGAAAAGAGATTCCAACTGCGAAACTTTTGAATGTCCTTGGACACATCACGTTGATTCGTTCGAACAAATGAAAGTACATTTCACCTGCAGCAAGTTGCATAACTCACGTTCTCGATCTTTTAGCCTCTTAAACAGAATGCTACTAGTTTTTTTTTTATCCAAAACAATTAGATAAATATTTTGAATCTATTTGTTTACATATGAAATCTTGAAATTATTTACTTTTTCAATCTAAAATGAATAGCGTTGATAACTTTTAATTACCAACTCTGCTCATTTTCAAATTCATAAATCATTCTATTCTTTAGATCAGATGTTTAAGATGTTGGATAACATTTACAGAATACAAAATATTACACAACACAAAAGTGTGTCAAAGAAATAGGTTGTAGAATAAAAAAGTTACAACAGAAATTCCGGAATTGGCTTACATAATTGAATCTCTTCGAAAACGTTTCTCGACGGTACATTAATTACGACAACGATCTTCTCTCGTACAACACTATTGTGCAATCCTGTTTTCCTGTGTAATTAGCGGAACAAGAATGTGCACGATATTTTATCAAAATTACATTCTCGTCTAGTTATAATCACGAGAGCATTAGTGTCATCGTAATTGTCGATTAAACCGTTATTACACGTTTTGTAATTGCAATGATAGAATAGAATTTCACCGCGAGAAAGTGCAGCGCATATGCAGCGAGCTCTGATGTTGAAAGAAACATCTTGCTGCACAATTTTCATCATGCTTCTTGATCGATAAAGAAGTTCTCTTAACGATCTGGATCAACTGTGACCCAGATTAAAATTAGACACTTCGAATTTTTAACTTAATTGGAATAATTAAATATTTGAAAAATAGAAAGTAAACAGGATGTAATATAAAAATGTTTTGAAAGATAGTTGTTCACTTTCTGAAGTAATATATGCAAAACAGGTGAAAAGAGAAACACATTTCGAATGCAGATATTAAAAGGAAACAGGTTTTGATATCTGAAACATTCGATTCGACAATCAAGGAAAAGGATATTACACACATGTGTGAATTTACGATGATTTCTATAAAAAAAATTTGCAAATCATAGTTATTAGACTCATTTCAGAAAGGAGCACATAACTGTATTTTATTTAATATCTCATCTGAATAATTTGTGATGAAAATAAACATTTTTTTTTTTTTTTTTTTTTTTTTTTAACTTAAAAACTTTACAACGTTTCTTCCTATTTTGAAACTTTTATCCAGCTGCTTAAGATGGATTTCTATTCCTGGACTGAATATATTAGAGAATCTGAGAAGATATCTCGAAGTGATGAGGTAACATCAAATATCTCTTATGTAATCCATTTTTACTTTCATAAGAAATAACAATAAAAAGATTTACTGACAAAGTTTGCTAACTACGTAGCTACTTTAACGATACCACAAATACAAAAGTTACGAAATATTGAAACAGATTACTTCTATTACAAAATACAATAGACGATAGTGTGGATAGTTAGAAATAAGGTTAGTTGGACGAAAAGTAGGAAGACTCTTTCACCGTTAAGGCCAAGGTTAATGAATCAAACAAGGCACGCAGAATGGATGCAAAATTATATGCACAAAGGCTGCAAGTTAAGGCTCTAAATCGTGTGTAGACCGTAGAAGATGAGAGAAAGTATGCGGTCGGATATGGTGTCTCTTAACTCACACCATGAAAGCAAAGAGAAAGACCGAAGCGCGTGACGACTGTTAATTCGCACGCCCGCTAAAAGACGACACTTAATTCAATGGAATTTAGTTTCTGTTCAATTTAGAACGCGTAATGCAGCTCTACTTATGGATCCTATACAATATAGATACTCTTCAATACCAAATTCATTCAATACTAATTAATCATTACCAGTGCACTAGGTATATCCTAAAAATGATTGACACCCAGAAAAACATAGTGCACCGATTTAAAAAAAAAAAAACTTTCTAGTAAAATTCTGAAACTATCCAGGACTTCAACGCTAATGAATTCACTTATCTTATCTAAAATATCCTCGATAATTTTGAAAATTGATAAAAACCTGAGGTAAGAGCCAAAGTGTAATGGCGGAAAGAAAGCAACAGGGTCACAGAGGAAGGCTGAAACAGCGGAAGAGAGCACGTAGACAAGGCGACGAACGGTATATGGGGTCACGACGTGGTTCCGTTTCGTGGTCTTCGAAGCTGGCATTGAAAGGAGTTACCTGGTGAGCCTCTCTCGACTGGTTTTCACTCTCGGCACTTGCCGCAAAGCGATAGGATGAAGCCGGTGTCTACCTTCCTCGCATCCATTGCCATTTACCGGTTTATTCGCCGTTCAGCAATTGCACGCGGTCGCAAAGTTTGAAAAATTTTCGAGAAGAAGCTCGTAAAACGTGTCGTGGTTCCTCGTTGTGAAAATACAGTAAGTAGAATAAACGTGACCGAGGAAAAATGTGTGAATCAAATTCGAGTGTGAGTGTTCAGTTCAAAAATCGTGATAATTGATGAATTCAAATGGTAAATAATATAATTGCAAAAAAAAGAAATCCCTATTTTATTTCTTGAAAATTAGTGCAGTGTAATAAATCTATGAAAGTCCATTAATGCCAACACATTAATGAACAGACATTCAAATTTTCTATGGATCAAAAATTTTCATTTCTAGTATAATGATTATTATTTATATTGCATTATATTATTTACCATTTTAACTCCTTAATTTTGTACGACATGTGGTTCTTGTTTCTTGGTTATTACTGATCTGTGGTGCTTTCTAACGAACGTTGGTATTTCTTTGACCTGAGTGAAACAGTGCATGGCTTTGTGCCAAGCGATACTGTACGGTTTAAAAATCCTAATTTTTTTTTTTTTTTTAATTGAAATATCGGTGTTAATGGCGGTGAATAGCGGGTATTTTTAACAGTAAAATAACCAAACCCGTTAAAATAGAAAACAGAACCTGAATAAAACTGATCTTCTGTCATTATGTAGTCATATGCATCTTGCATAATGCACTTTTTAGCATGATGCATACTTCGTGTAATTTTTTGCACATATCTGTCATATCTCATGCATGTAAGATTGATTGACTATTGACTACTGATCATTCAGAATTAGATTACAAAATTGACAAATACACCATTCTCCCTTTCCTTTTTATTAATTTTTACACATAATCATGCATTTTGTGAGGATTTTGCATAGTTTCATATTTTGTAACTGCATAAATACAGTCTCTTTATAATAATAGAATATTCTAGATTGCAGAGGAGAATAGATACCTACTGTCGGTTCTTTTTCTTTGTAACATATATTACAACATGTAATTATGGAATAATGAAATTGTATCTGAGATGTTACTTTCTATTTTTTGAAAGTGATGTTCTCACGAATGATACTGAAATTCTTTCTCTAAACTAGTAGCTAAAATTTCCATCGTACATAATCTTGTCACGAATTACAGACAGCTCCTGATTTTTGGAAACTTCGAGTGACAAATTTATCACTTCGAATGGCACACAAATTAGAAGTGGCAGTAGTGAGGTGGAATTGAACGGAAATGGCAATTGGGCTGACTACTTTGCTTAGTACAACCTCCGTCCTCGGATTTAGCCTGATTCCTCTTTTAGCAATCGGCCTGACCGTATTTCGATATAATCAAGCTGATCCAGAATCTCATCCATCCGATGCTCGCCAGGTTTGTTCAAAATTTTTAAAAATGATAAATTGAAAGAGATCTAGATTTAAATTGTGCTCTAGATTTTTCTTATCTTTAAATCTCGAGAAAATCTACTGATACCTGCAGTCGATATAACAGTTCATAGATCAATGATCATTCGTTAGTGTTGGATGATCGATACTCAATTGCAAAACTACTTCACTAATATCTTCAGGGTACAAGAAATGATGTCTTATAAAAATTTCAATTTTGGCTCCAAAGTATTGAAAATGATAATCATTAATTAGCCTTAATTTTTAATTAAGCAATTTCGAATTATTTATAATTTAATGCTCAATTAAATGTTAGTTGATAATTAGTGCCCAATTAAATTTAAGCCTTAATTACTTGTATTTCAGAAGTGCAAATAGAAAATAATGCATTATAATTTTCAAAACATGATCAATTTTGTATTCCAGCTACTACGAATGTACGATTTTATAGTGATCGGCGGCGGAAGCGCAGGAGCTGTGATCGCATCAAGACTATCCGAGGTGCCAAATTGGACTGTACTACTTGTTGAAGCTGGCGGTGACGAAAATGAAATTTCAGATATCCCTTTATTGGCTGGTTACACTCAACTATCAGAGTTCGATTGGAAATATCAAACTACGCCACCGACATCGTCCGCTTATTGTCTCGCCATGATTGGGGACAGGTGCAACTGGCCCCGTGGAAAGGTTCTTGGTGGCAGCAGTGTATTGAACGCCATGATTTATGTTCGTGGTAATCGGTAATTCAGAATTAATTGATCAAATTTTTAACAAATAAATGTGTCAAGTTGTATAAAATAATGAATTCCTAATTATTCAAACGATTTCAGCCGAGACTACGACAACTGGGCGAGATTGGGCAACGTAGGCTGGAGCTACGACGAGGTGTTCCCTTACTTCCTGAAATCCGAAGACAACCGCAACCCTTACCTAGCTAGAACCCCGTATCACAGCACAGGTGGTTACCTGACCGTTCAAGAGTCCCCATGGAGGACACCGTTGTCGATCGCGTTCCTTCAAGCCGGCCAGGAGTTGGGTTACGAGAATCGCGACATAAACGGAGCCAATCAGACCGGCTTCATGCTGACTCAGGCTACTATCCGTCGAGGTAGCCGATGCTCGACAGCCAAAGCCTTTCTGAGACCGGTGAAGAACAGGGAGAATCTGCACATAGCGATGCGCACGCAAGTTCTAAGAGTATTGTTCAACGAGGACAAGAGAGCTACCGGTGTAGAGATTCTCCGTGATGGCCGCCAACAAGTGATCAGAGTCAGGCGAGAGATCGTTCTATCAGCTGGAGCGATCAATTCACCCCAGCTACTGATGCTATCCGGAGTAGGACCTAGCGAACACTTGGAAGAGTTCAATATACCCGTGATATCAGACCTAAGGGTCGGAGACAATCTTCAAGACCACGTTGGTCTCGGTGGATTCACGTTTATCGTCAACGAACCGATCAGTCTGAAGAAGGATCGTTTTCAAACGATGCCGGTGATGATGGAATATGTACTGAACGAAAGAGGACCTATGACCAGTCCAGGTGTCGAAGGTTTAGCTTTTGTCAACACCAAATACGCGGATAAGTCAGGCGACTATCCTGATGTCCAGTTTCATTTTGCTCCCAGTTCGGTCAATTCAGACGGAGGCGATCAGATCAAGAAGATTCTAGGCCTCAGAGACAGAGTGTACAATACTATGTATAAACCTTTAACCCATTCTGAAACCTGGTCAATTTTGCCATTGTTGTTGAGACCTAAGAGTTCTGGATGGGTACGTCTGAAGAGCAGGAACCCATTGGTGTATCCAGATATCAATCCGAATTATTTTACACACAAAGAGGACATAGACGTCCTGGTAGAAGGTATAAGAATTGGTCTGCAGCTGTCGAACACTACAGCTTTTCAGAGATTCGGTTCTAGGCCTCACACTATTCGTATGCCAGGCTGTCATAGATATCCCTTTGACAGTTACGACTATTGGGAATGTGCTATTAGACATTTTACTTTTACTATTTATCATCCAACCGGGACTTGCAAAATGGGACCGAGAAACGATCCCACGGCAGTAGTGGATCCCAGATTAAGGGTTTATGGAGTGAAAGGATTGAGAGTTGCTGACGCTTCGATCATGCCTGTGATCGTCAGTGGGAATCCGAATGCTCCTACGATCATGATCGGTGAAAAAGCTAGTGACATCATAAAAGAGGATTGGAGGCAGAAGAAAAAGCGTTACGTGGGAAGATGATGATGAAGAATGGGAGGATTGCTAGTTCATTGAAAAGATGTCTGTTGTTTCAGACAGGTAACTGAGTCGGTTTCAGGGAATCGTGTTGCAACAGTTTGAGAAAAAATACGAGTTGCTTTATTTCACAATTAAACTGTTATTTATACCTCAAATCGAAGATGGGTTAGAATCGTCTTCGATTAGACCAAACACGAGTGTACCTTATAGTATTTCATGCTGTAAATTTCCTACAACTGTCTGTTATTTATTAATAGATTTCTATTTAATTGTTGATAGCGATGGGAATGACGAAAGATTTTCATATATTAGACAAAATAATATCTAAAGCAATAGTCCTGAATTTAGAAAATTATTTTTCAATTAAAAGACAGCTATTTCTCTGTTAATCAATGATATTATCATATTAGTATTAATTAATAATAATTTTTAATTATAAATACCAAATGTTTGTCGTAGGAAAACATCAGTCCCGTCGTTAAATATCACCGATACACCCATTTGTAAATAATCGTTTGTATCAAGTAATAAAGATAACCATCTAAATGGTGAACCAAAAACCGTCCATAAGACAACGAAATCGTGCCATTGTCTAAAACGAATTTTGTCTATATTTATACCAAACCACATTATTGTAAATAAAAGTATTTGTTCAGAATGAGTTTCTCAATTATTGCCACCCTTTCCATCAACGTTTTCTAAGCCACTTTTAATATTAATATCATGAAAATGAAGATTTTGAAAATTTCTACTTCCCTTATAATACCATTTTCCCACAAAAAGCCTACTTTGATCGCACTGTACGTATCCTGTTTTTCTTTCCTCTAATGCGTACCGTTTCTGGAACACCCAGTAGATTTTCACTGGTTATCTCGTAGAATCTCGGTAATTTTAATCTTGAAAAAGGAGCTCAACTCTCCCGTCGTGAGGCACGCGAGACCGTAGGTTCGAGATCGATGGATCACGATGGAAGGCAGACGATCTCGACTTTCGTTTCGCGGGCAAACAACATTTACGTAAGAGTTTCCGTGCTAAAAGGCTCGTTACAGGATGTGACGATTCTCACGTACATTTTTAAAGCCGCGTTTCCGCTTCCTTGTCTCGTATATTACAACGCGGTGAATTCATCGTGATCGCCGCTATTTTCATGGACTTTGTTATTGTCACGTTGAACAAGAATGTCCTTAATTTAGATAATTACTGATACACGTTTTCTTCGCGTCAAACTCATTCGTGTACTATTCAGGACGACTGAAGATATACTAATTGAGGAAGAAATTATTCATTCTATGATAAATCAAGTGTAAAATTAGTGCCTTTATTTGAAAGATTAATAAATTTTCTTTCATAGAGGACTAAGTCTGTTAATTATATAAAGGATTAATAAGTTTAATGACTTCGTTCTTTCATTTAACTACATTAATTGAATTACTTGAGAATAATCAATCATTTCAACCTCATTAATCACGCTTTCAATCAAGGAAGAATTGCACGAATAATAGAAATAATTATATAAAAAATTAATCGTCTAATTTAAAATTTATCTCTGTACAGATTTATAAAGGAAACACAATACTGTTTTTTTATGAAGCAAATAACATAAATTGGCTTACTTTAGTTCCGCCGTAAACAAGGAAGAAATTTCACGCGGTATAATGCAAATTTTGCAAACGCGTTTGTTATTCCATGGCCACTTTACTTTCACTGAGCCGACTGAAATTTGTCTGCGTAAAAAATTATTATTCTTGATCTAATCGAATCTCGGTAACAATGCCAGGCCATACAATAACACGATTCAAAGCACGCGGATTTTCCTATCTTTTCTATCGCGAGATCCTCTCGTTTCCCTTCCCTTCGTTCACGAATCTAACATCCGCTCTGCAATTTGGTGAACTCGATTAATTTATTGGTTATTTTTAAAGGAAGGAAAAAAAAAAGGAAGAAAGCAAAAGTCGTATGGGTTTCAGAAATTCTCAAGCACATCGGGCAAAGAAAAGTGGACAGTGAAAGTCTGACTTTGGTGGTGTTGCGTTTGCACGAGGTGAGTTCATTTGTATTTTCGATTCACGTCAGCATGAGAATATTTTGCAAAGAATATAACTAATGAAAGAAAGTGTAATGGTCAAGAGCGAACTAGGCGTTTGTCATAGAAACGGCGTCGATTAGACTTTCTTCTATACTTGTACTTTCTTACTATGCAATTACTATACTATCCGTTAGAAATACAGCCCCTGGCCATTGAATTAACCCCTTTGACCTGATGTTTCACATGGATAATAGGAATTTTATTATACAATATAATATCTTATTAACTTCCTAGATAATTATAATATTAGATGTTGCTTTCTCTGATTATTATCTGAATAATTATTCCATCAGAACTAACTATAATTCCCCGAATAGAATCCGTAATCGAAAGTAATGCAAACTAGTTTAAAATCTCTCACCTGTTCCCTGCGACACTAAGTAGGTAACAAGTTCTAAACATACAAACCAACTTCCGAGTAACTCGCCCCGTAATAATTGATAATTGATCAGTGACGCGTAATACTTGCGAATGATTAGAAAGCAATACTAGTTGCGTCGACACACGCACTTTTACGAAGTCCGTATAACGTGTCGCAATTACCACATTACACCTTTCACACTACGGAAGTGCAGCCGATGAGAATTTCTTTTATTCCTATCATGTACATATTCCTATTCGTCTGTTGTCTAAATACGTTTCGTCATCTGCGAATTCTATTACTCAATCACTTATATAAATATGGAATTTACGCAATTAAAAATAATTTAAAATAGAAATTTATTTCAAAAATTGTCACCAATTTGCGGCGAATCTTAAAGTGAAACAAGCTAGCTATAATTATTCCAAATTTAATTAACTAATCAAACGATATAAAATTTCATAATTAAAATTTTCAATAATCTCAAATAAAATTCCCAACTTGCTCCATGCTCATATTTAATAGAAATTTCTTACGAATTACATTATCAAGTTCACGTTTAATTAATAAAGTTACTCGAGGATTGAATTTCTAATTACCCGAAACGTTAGGTGGGGATCGATTTCATGTGTAATGAGGTTCGTATGCAAGTGAATATCGTAAGTTGTACAAACCGGATGTGATTGAGGCTAGGAAACAGGATTAAATGGAGGAACAATCTGGACGACCAGCTGCTCGTTACTTCACCGTGTTTCCAGACCATTGACCCGATCCCGCACTCGACAACAGATTTTCAACGCACGATTTAATTTTTCCGCTTAATTACATTCCATCGCGTGTGTACAGCTGCCTGTTAAACATGACTCCTTCGTTTCAATAGAAGCAAGCACAGTACACTTTGTTCTTACGAATCGGATAAATAGCCATTCGAACGACCTACCGATACAATCGCTGAAAGAAACAACGTTTCAACAACTTGTACACGTCGTTCCTTGAATGGATTGTCAATTGCACGGCACGCTTACAAATGATGTACCGCGAGAACAATATTATTACTCTCATTTCTGCCTGTTTTTGTAAGCTGAATTTATGTCTCCATAGAGGGACACTGATTAATTCGAGATTTTAGATAACGCTTTAATTAACTCATTCATTATGACTGGGATGTGTACTTTTTAATTAGTAAAGAATTTTTAAAGAGACTTGTCATTTACAACTTAATGATATACTTGTGTGTATGTTTTAAATAAAGTATCGATGCTTGATTGGTGATTTGAATTAATTAACCCTTTCATTATAAGATATATTAGAAAAATTTACTTTACCAGGAAAACCACTATTTACGTGCTCAGTATACAATGTTCAATGTGGAAATCTCTCGATACCACAATGACGATACATGTTTGAATAACGAGTTAGGTTATTCGTAAGAACTTTCTTTCTCTAAACCGACTCGAAATTCATACATAATACTTCGTTATTACTACTATTCCGATCTCTAAACGTGCCAACGGTCACGTAGCATCGAGAGAATGGTTTCGCTATAATTTTATTTTATTAGAAAATTCATTTTAAACACAATATTGCAAAATTTTTAACATCAATACTCTAAGTTAATTTATGATCTTCTACATATGATAATATTGCATTCAACGAAGAACTCTAATGCACGCGATATATCATTGAAAAAGGAAAAGATAAACCAGTTACACGTCCGCTTTTCTCACCCGACATTCAAAAATATTACTTCCTTTTGAGTTTCTTAATGAAAACATTGAATAGAGTACCATAATCCCAGCTAGATTATCTATAAGGAAATAATTTAAAACTGGGTTATCTTGTCGGCTATTTTATTGCCATCATTTATCATTGTATTCAAGCCACTCCCTCGCGACGTAAGTGATTAAAGGAGTATTTACGAGAATAGAGATTCTTCTAACGTTCGAATACTATTTCTTGTTATGAGAATTATTACAGTAGCTTCAATTCATTAATTTTAAAAATTCGGAAACATACTATTTTCATAATAAAAAAGAATAAAATTAACAAAAATATTAATTAGATTGGCACTTATTAAAAATTCTAATTCTAACAATACGAAAGTCTGAAATTTACTTGCCATCTAATATCAAGTTACATCGTCTGCCAATAGTTCTAAATGGACGCAGCACGTGCTTCTGATAATTAGATAAGTGACGTAAGTATTGTTGATCGCACGCTAACAATTGATGAAATATGAATATTCGGTTTGGAAATAACTACGTTTATCCGGCTTCTCGATCGTGTATTGACTCGAGGAAGACTGAAGAACGAATGAATGTACGGTCGCGCGCTTCGGCCGCTCGCTGATAATTCGAGTGTTTATCTCAAGGGATTATCCCTTTCTCGCGCGCGGCGCCAACTCTGCCGGTTTTGAATTTAATTTCGCCGATATAACAAGTATCTACTATCGTAACTGCTATATTTCTTTTTTTTTTTTTTTTAATTAAATAATTAATTAATGCATCTAAGAAGGGATCTAAAGAAAGCACGAGGAATACGTCGATCATTGTAACAAAGTGTGTAATGTCTACGTTAGTGTAAGCACCGGCTGTTAGCACATTGTCAGAGGGGGATAGGTGTGCGTAGGTAACCACAGGAAGAGAATACTTTCACTGCCAAAGTACGCTTGGGAGCCTTCGGGAAGGACGAAGAAACTCAGTCACTGGCCAGATCGACAAGGAAGGTGAGAGTGAAATGAGTAGGAGAGTGTGCTATCGGTACAGTTCAGTATCGTTCTTCCGAGTGTCATTACCGATTCTCACGACGGTCATTCGGTGGTAATCGTCTAGTCAGTGAGTTAGATAGATCCTGCTAAAAATTTTCCTTCAATCAACAGTGTTCGTACAAGGTTTTGGATGATAGCATTTCCTTACTAACCTCTGGATGTTTTGCCTGGTCGAGAGAGACTGAAGAATTTATCGAATCTGATGTGAAATGTTCTTGGGAATAAAGGCTCGACGAAGAAATAAAAGGTTGGTGTGTGTGAACTCAAACTCTGGGTTCGATTTGATTAAATATTACAAATAATTTTGGATACAGATAATTATTATATAATATTCCATGTTGAGATAGAAGAAATAGAATGAAAAAGCAGGTGTTTGTGGAGTACCCAATTGTGATAAGCACTCAATGTGCTAAAGAACAAAGTGAGAACAAAGAATGTTACTGCAAAAGAAGTGCACGAAGATTGCTAGTGATTACGATGAATCACTCGGTAACAATCACAGTGATAATGATTCTGAATAATTGTAATTATTCCAATTACGTAGGTTATTTAATATCTTCGCATTACGCAATTTTTACATAACAAATTTCTTATATTACTTAATGAAATAATGGCCCTGGGACACACTATACACAGGATGCCACATAACAATTAAAGGCACATTGAAACAATGTGTTAACTTGAACCAGGAGTAATTGAGTATCGGACCATGAAGAGTTAAACATATTAAGGTCCCGAGTTCCTCGTAATATGATAAATTGATTCCTTGAATGCAATCGATTGCGTAAGAATGAATTGTTCGTGTGTGGTTATATACAGACGAGGATCAATAGGAGAATCCTGGTTATACATGAATAAAACATTGATTGGAAAGAATAAATATTCATGATGGAGAATGGAGGACTAAGATACATTGCAGAACACCGATAAAATTTTGCAATTTCTACGCTATTTGCATTAGTGTAAAAAGTAATAACCTAGTAAATGAACTTTGTTTCATGTCGCAACATGAAAATCGTTCAAGGTGTCTGTTTTAAATATTATTATTAGATCATTTCATAAATTTGCTTCTATTTTGAATGACATCAGTTTTTTAACGATTGACGTGGAAAAATTCTGCATCAATTAATTAAAAATGCACAGATTTACAAAATGAAATCATTAACATGTTATATTAAACTGTATCGTATCGAGTGGCTGATTTCGAAGCAAAGAAAGTTTGACACCATTTGATAACATGACATAAAAGTACCGCGAAACAGCACTTATGGCATATTAATTTAAAATTTAAGGTTCGACGAAAGTAATTACATAAACACTTCCTGAATATTCTTAATGAAGATTTGCTAGCTGTTCAGTGGAATAATTAATCTGATTTGTATTTTTTTTAACACTAGTATATAATTAGAATTTTGATATTAGTGTGTAATCATTCACACATCTTTCACGATTAAAAACTTGTGGCTAGACGATGAGTATTACATCTGCCATTTCACTTGAAATATTTGAGACCGGTTTTATATTGTGTTACATAACTTACGAAATTCTTGTTTAATCCGCTTTCCACATTATATTATTCTTGTTTTTGTATATTCTCGAAACAATAATATAGCATAATTTTGTTCTACAAAAACATCCTAGACACTTGATATCAACTCTCAGTTTTTAATAATTTAAAACTAACTCAGGCATTTGAAAATTTATATTCGATAAATTTCAAAATTAATTTCATAGACAAAATATTTAAATTAATTTTAATAATTGATTTCTTTCATCCTCATTAAAATTTGCTAGTTAACCCTGCCTATTTAAAAAAAAAAAAAAGATATTATTTCAAACTATCATTTAGCTCGACATATTTTTAACCCGGCAAACCACATATTTTCCTAAAGACAATTCCACTTGATCTTGCGTCGATTCTACTCGTTCCTAATTACCTCATTCACTTTCCTTCGCCGTTGAAAGTTGCATAAAGAAAGAAAGTCCCACAAATGGTTACGCAACAATTCTACGAATATTTTCATAGACGAAAACGTATGTTCTCATTTCCAACAGTATTATAAATTTCTTTCTATTTTTCATAATAAAAAAAAATATACACGATTCGATTGAAATAATATCTTTTATCGATCTAAAATAATTGATAATAGAATATTATTATTACTGTTAGTGAAACAGAAATCGGACATAAAGATTACGATTTTTCATTTGTTTTAAGTAAAATAATTGCTACGAACGAGAAAAGAGAAGTAATTTACGCTTAACTGAGAACTCACATGGCAAGGCTGGCTGCGTTTTTACTAGGAAACTCTTACCTGAAACAAGAAAACGGAACTGTTAGATACATCGTCTCATCGATAAGAACTCTGCACGTGGAAACTGTTACTTTTTTGCTATCATTTACTCTTCTACTTTAAACACGCAAACCAGGCTGAAAAGCAATTCGAAATAAATATACTGGAGAGAAGCATAGTAAAATGACCACCCAATTTTATGTTCCTTCCTAAAACCTGATTCATAGTTTCAACTGTATTCAATTTTTGCTTAAATTGTAAATAACACCATGTAAGAAAATTGTAAATACTGAGGCGATTATGATAAAAAGCAAAAAAAGAATAGCATGTTAGAACCTTATTCCGTAGTTCTTCCGATCCAACGCGTAATTTCAAGAAAGAAACATTGTTCAGTCAGTTTCCGCATTACCTTTTTCTACGTGATGCAGAAATTGCACAGCTCTATCATAGCCATGATTCTTCCACGTTAGTATCCTCCAACTTTCGGAGCACCGACCGGACACGAGGTTATTTATGACTCACCCATTTCATAAACTTATTGATAACCCTATTCATCGTCAGTATCGTTTGCAGTTTTCTCTTTTCATTTTTTTATCAAAAATAATTGTGGTTTTCGAATGTTTTATCTGAATTCTAAACACTTTCTGAAGTAACAAAAGCTTTGTGTATTTTTCAAGGTAGCCAAACAGTTTGCTCGACAACCAACTATCCTGTCAGGGCCAGGAAAAGTCCTTAGACCCGTAACGAAGTTGAAGAACAAGACAGAGAAAGGCCACGTAACGTAACCACGAAAGTTTCGTAGAAGGAAACGAGCGTGGAAGAAGGTTTACGTTGGCGAAACACTTTCTCCTTTCCCCGTTATGAGATCACCATCTCGTCTCTCCACTGATAGCAACATAACTTCGTTAATTTGTTGACTGCCTTGAAATACTACCTACTTAACCGTTTCACTGAAGTTCTTCGAAAAAAAAAAAAAAAAAAAAGAAAAGAAAACAACAACAAAAACTAAATATATTGTTTAACATTGAATTATAAGATCTCCATTACATTTCCAAATGGTTGATTTAAGGAACGAAAACGTATCTTCTCTAATTACAGGAAGACGAAACAGCCCATGAATCAATTGCCGGCGCCATCGAGGGCACAATGAAGAGAATAAGCTCCGACGTGCCATTCACAATAGTTCGGATCGAAAGAATCGGCACCCGTCCGCCGGACATCCGCTCACGGTAAAACATCATCAGCGTGATGTCATACGAAGCACTCGGAAATTCAAAATTTCATTTAACCAAGTTCGCGAGATTTCAATTCGAGAAGAATGGTGTTCAGTACGATCGTGGTAACGTCAGCGTTGAAGGGCGCTCTGGGTTTGATGGGCACCAGTTTATGGTTGATCCCTTTACTCATAGCAGGCCTGTCCTACTATCGTTACGATCAACTAGATCCTGAAAGTCGACCCATCGATCGTTACCCTCTGTACCCCGAGTACGACTTCGTCGTAGTGGGTGGTGGGTCAGCTGGAGCAGTGGTAGCCAGTAGACTATCAGAAATAGCAAACTGGAATGTTCTATTGCTCGAAGCTGGCCCCGACGAGAACGAGATAACAGACGTGCCATCGTTGGCAGCTTATCTGCAACTGACGAAGCTGGACTGGAAGTACAAGACCGAACCAACAGGAAGAGCCTGCCTGGCAATGAACCGAGGCCGTTGCAATTGGCCTCGGGGCAAAGTTCTAGGAGGCTCCAGTGTCCTTAATTACATGCTCTACGTTCGAGGTAACAGGCACGATTACGATTACTGGGAGTCTCTGGGTAACCATGGCTGGGGCTACGATCAGGCGCTCTATTACTTCAAAAAGTCCGAGGATAACCGGAATCCTTATCTCCAGAAGAGTCCTTACCACTCCACAGGTGGTTACTTAACCGTTCAAGAGTCCCCGTGGAGGACACCGTTGGTGGTGGCGTTCGTTCAGGCTGGCACAGAGATGGGTTACGAGAACAGGGACATAAATGGAGAACGACAAACAGGATTCATGATAGCTCAGGGTACGATTCGCAGAGGTAGCAGGTGTTCCACGGCGAAGGCGTTCCTTCGTCCAGTTCGATTGCGCAGAAACATCCACACGGCTATGAACTCTCATGTCACCAAAATTCTGATAGATCCAATAACCATGAGAGCCACTGGAGTGGAATTTGTGAGAGACGGTCGTAGGCAGATCGTCCGAGCGCGAAAGGAGGTGATTCTATCAGCTGGGGCTATCAACAGTCCCCAGATCCTAATGCTTTCCGGGATAGGACCTCAGGAACACCTGCGCCATATCGGGATACCTGTGATCAAGGATCTCCGAGTGGGTGATAATCTTCAGGATCACGTTGGCATGGGTGGACTCACGTTTCTTATCGATAAACCAGTGGCTATTGTTCAAGATCGCTTCCAGGCTGCTCCAGTGACCATGCACTACGTGGCCAATGGAAGAGGACCCATGACTACGCTGGGTGGTGTCGAAGGGTATGCGTTCGTGAATACAAAATATGCTAATCTCTCTGTCGATTATCCAGATATTCAACTGCACATGGCACCAGCCTCCATAAACTCGGATAATGGTATCCAAGTGAAGAAGGTCTTGGGTATTACTGATGAGGTTTACAACACGGTATACAGACCCATTGCGAATAAGGACGCCTGGACCATCATGCCTCTTTTGCTCAGGCCTAGATCACGTGGCACGGTTAGACTGCGCAGTTCTAATCCCTTTCATAGTCCACTGATCGATGCTAATTACTTTTCTGACCCCTTCGACATCGCCACTTTGGTCGAGGGTGCTAAAATCGCGATGAGGGTCAGCGAGGCTAAGGTCTTCAAGCAGTTTGGATCCAGAGTCCATCGTATCAAGCTACCGAATTGTAAACACTTGAAGTTTGCTTCGGATGCTTACTGGGAATGTCATATTCGTCATATCACCATGACGATCTATCATCCAGTTGGAACGACCAAAATGGGACCTTCAAGTGATCCAAATGCTGTTGTGGATTCTAGATTGAGGGTTCACGGAGTAAAAGGACTGAGGGTGATAGATGCGTCCATCATGCCCACGATATGCAGCGGAAATACGAATGCACCAGTCATCATGATCGGTGAAAAAGGAGCTGATCTGATTAAAAATGACTGGTTGTCGATCGAGACAAGCAGAAGCTGACATATTTTGTACTTTAGCCAGGTCTTTATATGTAAGGACATCTGTTTAAATTTATTAAGTTGATGTTAATATCCTATCTATCACTAGTAACTTTAAGTGACATGCAGCATAATTTTGTTGCTCTTATTTCATAAGGCAGGGGATTAATTTGTTTAAAAATTCGATGACTGTTATAAGTTGTTTATATTTTGTTGGTAGTTTACCACTTGTTGTAATATGTTGAATGTATATCTATGTAAATTGTGTACATAAAACTTTTGTTGATTTAATTCCACTACGATTGTTGATTTAAAAAATGTTAATTGTTAAATGATTTATTACCCAAGATAACTGGAAGCGAATCGACGAGAATTCACTTTATTTTGTACTTTATTTTGTAGAAGAAAACATTTCTTAAGTAAACGAACGAAACCTTTACCATTTGATTTATTATTTTTACACTGAATTCAAGAACGCAATTGGAAAAATACATTTGCACTGACTGTACGAACAAGGAAAATGATATCCAAGTATAAACAAGAAAAAATAATAGATAACGTGGCTGTATCTTAATTCATTGCGGTCCAAAGTTGAGCCCGTTTTTCAGTAATTTTAAACACACGGACCATTCGCGATAGTTTATTTAAAGCTAAACGAAAAATAACACGTTTCTTCATATTTTTCGCCAATTGTGGTCAAGTGGGTAGCCATATAGCTCGTCAATGACTTAATAACAGATTAAAGATGTTGATTAACGGCAAATTTATTTTTTATCGAGTGCAAAAATATACTAAATTAAGAGAAGCTCACAGGTTTTTCTTCTTGTCCACGTTCTTTTGATACAACAAACAAAATTTGTTTTCTCCTTAAAGTAGAATTACTGTAGGTTAAGTTCAATTTATGGAAATTTAATGATAATAGTCTCTTCCTTTTAAATAGCGGATTCTAGAATAAAAAATATATTGAGATACAAAGTTTCTAAATAATAAATAGCAGTGTAATGATTGCATAATTAGTTGCATGCAACCGCTCCATTTAAAGAAGCTATTAAATGAATAAAAAACGTCCAATGTTTCATTGACGTCAGATTGACGTCATCAGGACAATTTAATTGAATTAAATTGAATTAATTGAACATTTTCACTCTTGCTGAACCATCGTAGCCCGGTGATTTACAAATTTGTTTCCAAATTTGAGAATCTTCTCAATGAATTACAAATAGAACGCGAACTGAGCGAATTTCAATTATTATATGATACATCTCAACTCAGAATTCAAAAAATAAATGAATAAAAATTATCATAAGGAACTTAACACGAAACCTGTATAAACAAACGTTAAGAATTGATATTATGATAATAAATTCAATTTTACCTGTTTATTTGAAAATACAAATGAAATTGAGAACATTCTTTGAATTAAATTTCGAAAATTGTTTACAATGATGGGGTTAAGCAAAATCCTTCTGTTAAGTGGATCTTAAGTGGATCCTTCCACCCACCCAACTCAAGATACCTCGCAACGCTCATCCCTACAAAATTAAAGTGAGTTTTCGTTAAGGAAAACCTTGAACTGCATCGAAAGATTTAAGGGAATGCCAATTCCAGGGAAACAAAACAGGATACAAACACCTCTTAATCAAAGAAACTAATCCAACAGGAACAGCATCGCTCATAATGTATTCCTATATATGAAGAAAAAAGCAGGATTTACAGGATTATATATACCGAGCGAGAAGCAATCGAAGTGTCATTTCCCGCGTAAAAATCATCCAAGATGAACGCTGACGCTCGTTCCATTTTCGTCATCTCGCGGCTCATTTATCCATTAATCATTACGTTAACGATTTTCCCCGGACAGTACTGGTCAGTCGCTGAACCAAGACGATACGCGAACCTGTACGGCTATAACGATTTCAATTCATCTATAACAGAGAACCTCCTGAATACTGGGATAGGTGCTCTAAATTTTTTACTTAACAATCAACGATTCCTTGAAAACGCCCAACCAGATGTGACACCAATATCCAATTCCTTCTACGATTTCATAGTGGTAGGTGCTGGGACAGCTGGTGCCGCTATAGCATCCAGGCTCAGCGAGGTTCAGAACTTTAGAGTACTACTAATAGAGGCAGGCCCTGAAGAGTCTCTATTCATGGACGTCCCCGTCGTGGCATCCTTCTTGCAGGATGTAGACGAGATAAATTGGAAGTACGAAACAGAACCGTCTGACAAATATTGCATGGGTATGAAAGGGCACAGGTGCAAGTGGCCCAGGGGCAAAGTGATGGGTGGTAGCAGTGTCTTGAACTACATGATCGCCACCAGAGGAAACCCTAAGGATTACGACAGATGGGCTGAATTAGGGAACGATGGATGGGCGTACAAAGACGCGTTTAAATACTTCAAGAAGTTGGAGAACATCCAGATACCCAAGTTGAGGAATGACAAGAAGTACCATAGCACTGATGGACCAGTGACCATAGACTACGCGGCATTTAAATCACCCTTGCTAACCGCGTTCCTGGAGGCTGGTCAGGAACTGGATTACCCATTGGTGGATTACAATGGACAGAAACAAATTGGTTTTTCACAAATACAATCCAACACTTTCCGTGGGTATCGGATGAGCAGCAACAGGGCCTACCTGTCTGGCATAAGGCGCAGCAATCTCCAGGTAACTAAAATGAGCATGGTGCATAAAATACTTATAGACAAAAAGAGGAAACGGGCTATAGGTGTGGAATTCGTGAAGAACAATCGCCGTATGACGGTGTACGCGAACAAGGAAGTGATTTTATGCGCGGGTGCCATAGGATCCCCTCAGTTGCTGATGCTCTCCGGAGTAGGCCCAGCAGAGCACTTAACGAAACTCGGGATAGACGTGATAAAGGATTCGCGGGTCGGGGACAATTTGATGGATCACATAGTGTACGGTGGACTCACGTTCACGGTTGACGAGCCTGTCAGCGGATTGATGTACGATCTAGTAGACATTTCGAAACCATACGCCAAAGACTTTCTGATGGATCAGAAAGGACCATTCACCGTCAGCGGTGGAGTCGAAGGCATCGCCTTCGCGGACGTGGATAATCCAAAGAATCGTGACGGAATGCCGAACATAGAACTGATGGCACTGATGGGCTCGATTTATTCCTTCAAAGCTACGATGGATAATTTTGGCTTCAATCAGGAAATACTGGACAAATTCTCGTTCTTTCAGAGCACCTACTCCTGGGGTGTATTCCCTATGTTACTGAGGCCGAAAAGTCGTGGATGGATAAGACTGAGGTCCAGAGACGTGAATGTTAAGCCACGTATTGTAGCCAATTATCTGGACGATTCGGAAGATATAAGGGTGTTACTGAAAGGGATCAGATTCGCCTTACAGGTTGGCGAAACGAAAGCCATGAGAAGACTTGGCGTGAAGTTTTATAACAGAACAGTATCCGACTGTGACAAGTACCCATTTGACTCGGACGATTACTGGCTGTGCAATACTAGGATGGAAACTTTAACTATTTATCATTATTCTGGCACTTGCAAAATGGGTCCTAAGAATGACAAGACTGCTGTCGTCGATCCAACCCTTAAGGTACGTACAAATTTAGTTTCCAATCATTTTTTATTTGATTGTGAGCGATGAAATGAATAGAAGTTTTAACATTTCAGGTAATTGGTATTAAAGGGCTAAGAGTGGCTGATGCTTCCATAATTCCAGAAATTCCATCAGGCCATACCAATATCCCTGTATTCATGATCGCCGAAAAATGTGCGGACATGATTAAAAAGGAGTGGGGATATCCGACTGATTGAAAACCGTGATCTAAAGATTAGTATACCAAAATGAAGTGTTAATTAAGTTTTATATATGTATGTACAGTTTAACGTAAAAATATAGCATATAAATCTCATCTATCAATCACGTTTTTCACTCGCCTTTGAGCCCGAATTGACACTAAATAACACATGATATTGAGTTTATATTCAAAAATAAATTCTTTCAAATATTCCAATTATTAATCTAAATTGAAAGTTATCCTAATATTAAATGAATTAAATAGTTAAAAAGTTAACGTCGCATAAACTGAAGTTATATTAAATTATTTTGTGAAAAAAAAAAAGAAAGGCGAAATAATTTATGAAGAAGGAATTTTCAATTCAACGCTGGTAGTGAATATGGTAAAAAAGTACCAAAGAGTTTACGAATTGTCCTTCACGATTTTCAAGTGACAAATTCACCCACGAAAGGAATACCAAGCACCCAGGTACATAATGACCAGCATAAAAGTGGAACGTGAACGAGATAAAACAGATGCACAATATAGAAAACGACACGAGAAGGGGTCGACCGAGTACGTGTTGTTAACATTACTCAAGCCCGGTAAGTATTACGTGAACGACACGAGAAAGCGCATTTCTCTAGTGGATCTTGAAGTGGAAAGTGGGCACAGGGTCTTCAGTTTCGGTAGTCCCACAACATCATCAGGTTGGATACCACGTCTCGCAAGGAACATTAGAAATATTATGGTAATAATAATTGCCATCAAGCAAACAATCATTTTCTTCATAATACAAACAGCCAGTGAAATTTAACCTGTTCAATGTCTTTGTTTATTGTATTGGACATCAATTTTATTAGTGTTTTCATTTATATAAATTTTAATACATAGCAAATTATTATAAATATGATTTCTATTATAAAATATATATATTTGTTCTGTGCTTATTTTTGCATATTTTTTGTTATAAAAGAGTAAAAATTGTGTTTTAAATGTGTTAATTATTTATGTGGAATTTCAAATTGCTATTTTATAAGGTAAGACACTTTTGTTCCCTTTTTTGGGTGCTGCTGAAAATTTGCGTGACCTTATATTTCATAAAATCTGTAACTTTTGCAATTTTACACTCCTTTGTATAACTAACAAATCATTATTTAAAATAGAAAAAAAAATATCAGAAGTGTCCAAAATTACTGGGAACACCTTGTATAGACCCGATTTCACACTTTTTGCTAATGAGGCAGAAATGAAAGTAGAAATTTTGAGCCCCGAATAAGATTTTATCTTTATGTCTTGTTTCATAAGAAATAGCTATTTAAATTTCAAACAAAATATGATAATTAGTAAAATCCAAATTTTCTCTCAATAAAATTAATATTTATTTAAAAATATGATAATAAATTTCTATTATCGATTGTTCAATTTTCATATTGCAAAACAGTATTGTTAAATGAATGAAACACAGTTATTTATGTGTTGACCTATATACACATAATTAAGTGTACATAACAGTGAAAGCGCGCGTTTTATTCAACGAAAGCGAAGTTGAAATGTCAACAAGCATTATTTATGCAAAGATTCCTTACAGAGTCTCTTAGTAATCATAATAAAATAAATAAAAAAATGAAGAATTTGAGAGCCACGTATTTTCCTAAATTAGTATTTCCTTTTTATACTCAAATAAAGATTACTAACAATAAAGAAATTTTCATCTTCAAACAAATCCATAAATTTAAATATTTCTTTTACAGCACCATGACTAGCCTACTTAATACGCTATTACTGCTATCGTCCCTCGTTTCCATTGGACGGTCAGAATCATTTTTAAATGCAATAAAAAACTATGGACCATCGCCGAAAGTTTTAAATAGAATCGACCCGAGCAACAAAAAATATGACTTCATCGTGGTGGGTGCTGGATCAGCCGGGTCGGTATTAGCCAACCGTCTCTCAGAGAACAAAAAATGGAATATTTTGTTGTTGGAGGCAGGAGGGCCCGAAAGTCTCCTTCACCAAGTGCCAATCCTCGTTGGCTACTTTCAACTGTCCAGCTTTAATTGGGGCTACAAGGTAGAACCTCAGACAAACGCTTGTTTAGGAATGATCAATCGACAATGTTCCTGGCCACGTGGCAAAGCCCTTGGTGGAACGAGCACCCTTAATTATATGATCCACACACGGGGAAACAAATTGGATTACGATATCTGGGCTGCGTTGGGAAACGAGGGTTGGTCGTACAAGGATGTGTTACATTATTTCAAGAAGAGCGAAAAATTCAACATTCCAGGTGAGTATATTAATGACATAGGAATTACCATTTCTATTCGACAACATGCAAAAATTTAATCACAGTAAAACCTATGCCCCGGCAAAAAGGAGGTAAAAATATGCACATCGTAAATTAGAGATCATACAACATGCCATTCGAATTAACAGCAGGTACGATTAAACCACCTATTCGTATTCAGGAATCAAGAATTCCACGTACCATGGGGACAAAGGTTACCTGTGCGTGGAGCACGTGCCTTATCACACAGAGCTAGCCAAGGCATTTCTGAAAGCTGGAAAACAACTAGGCTATCAGATCGTCGACTACAACGGCGAGGACCAAATTGGATTCTCTTACATCCAAGCGAATCTGGATAAAGGAACCAGATGTAGCGCTTCGAAAGCGTACCTTCGGGTGAATAGATCGAATCTAAACATCGTCACAGGTGCCACAGTCACCAAGGTGTTGATAAACGAGAAAAATCGCACTTACGGCGTGGAATACACGAGAAACAACCAATCCAAGAGGGTATTTTGTTCTAAAGAGGTAATCCTCTCAGCTGGCACCATAGACTCTGCCAAACTACTTATGTTATCCGGTATAGGACCTAAGGATCACCTGGAAGAACTCGGGATCAAAGTGATCCAAAACTCCAAAGTGGGATACAGCATGTACGAACACGTTGGTTTCCTAGGTCTGACCTTCCTGGTCGATCAACCAGTGTCGTTATTGCAAAGTAGACTAGCCAGACCCAGTGTGTTTATAGAATACATTCTGCATGGAGACGGTCTGATGTCGCTTCCGGGAGGAGCGGAAGCTTTAGCATTCATCAGGACTAAGTATGCTCCTGATAGTAGACCGGACGTGGAACTTTTGTTTGCCTCGGGATCTTTGCACTCGGACGGAGGGCTGCCTTTGAAAAAGGCCCTCAGGATATCCGACGAATTGTATGACACTGTTTACAAACCGATAGAGAACCAGGACGCATGGTCTATCTGGCCCATCGTACAGAACCCAAGAAGCGTTGGTAGGATCACTCTGAAGTCGAAGGACCCTTACGAACCACCTAGGATGGAGCCAAACTTCTTCACCCATCCTGCTGATATAGAAATCATTTTGGAGGGGATCAATCACGCTATCAATATCTCGAAGACACAACCGTTTCAGAAATACGGTAGCCGATTACACGATATCAAGATTCCTGGATGCAGAACGTTCCAGTTCGCTAGCGATGATTATTGGAGATGCGCTATCAAACATCTGCCTTCCATGATGAATCATGAAATTGGTACCGTGAAAATGGGACCAAAGGATGATGCGTACGCGGTTGTGGATCCGCGGTTGAGGGTGTATGGTGTTCTAGGATTAAGGGTCGCGGATGCATCGATCATGCCTGCCATGCCTACTGGGCACGTGAATGCTGGTATTTATATGATCGGGGAAAAAGCGGCTGATATGATCAAACGAGACTGGCAATGAACTTGTACACTCCTTTTATGAGTAGAATTATTATTTCATGAAATACTCAGCTATTCGTAAGTAATGTTAGAATTGATACCAGCGATGCCAATATACAAATTTGAATCTGGTATCGAGCAGTGTCAAAAAAAATATCAAGTATTTTAAAAAATTGAAAATTCCAGAAATTATGAAGGTTTATAGTTAATGCAAGTTTCATAAGATTCTTCTAGTCTACACATTTCACTTTCGACGTAAAGAGTGTATTAGAAATAGAATAAATAATAGCGCTGATTAATCGTAAGTTATAAATTTTGATTTTCACCGACTGATAAACAACATTTATTGATCGAATTTTTCATAGCCCTAATGAAAATTGCATCGATTCTGGCTCGAAGTTGTAAAGAGAAAAGGTAATTACGCGATAGATCGTGCGATTAAGAGTGTTCCATTTAAAAGCCACATTCTATGGTATTAAGGACGAGGAAAGTAATATTACTTCATTAGTTGGGCGAGGGATAATAAATTATTTGCGTGCAGAAATGCGTCGCAGAACTAACGAATGGCCCACATTCTCGTTCATTCGATTAAAAGGAAACTTTATAAAAACACGCAATAATTTCATTAATAATGATAAATAAAAGCTGAGTCATATTTCCCCTGATACGTTTTCGTGCGAAATTAGATAAAAATATCCAATCTAACTGATATACTGACACTCATTTCAAATATATTTTCATTATTATTATTAGGATTAATTGGCAATTTGTATTAAACTTTGCTGATAGAACTTTAAAATTTTAAAAAACTATACCTGTTTTGTATGTAAAGTTGCATAAAACTTATATCATTTCAAATTCATTGTACTACATATTTAAAACATTTGTACTCGTCTATAACTGTGAATTTATTGAATGTCAATACTATATAGTAAATTAATGGACTTTAACTATAGGTGTATGAATTATTTAATTACGTATAACTAAATGCATCAAACAGATGGAATGTGTGAAAATGTAATGCGATTTTAATCATTTTCAAACTAAATGGTTTTATAAATAACATTGTGTATATAAGCACAAAATTAATGCAATCATATGTAACATTGAAAATTTTGTATAAAGCATTACATTAATGATTAATGCAATAGCATATTAGATCCACAGATTCTTAACCCTGTGATCTTGTATCCAATTGACTGAATTAAACTACACACGTACATGGAACTTTATCAATTTCACCTTCAGATTATGTAGTTCAAATTCATTGCTCCCTTAGCATTTCTACTGGTATATTGTGAAAGTATTATTATACTAGTTTCTGATAAAGTTTATAAACTAATGTTTATATAATAATATTTCAAATAATATTTTACATATGTATCTATCATCGTACATAGTACATGCAATCAATTATGCCTTTATTATCTACCTTTTATAATTAGTATTCTGTTAATTTGTTTAATCTGCTCATAACTTATTTATACCTGATGATAATATTATCTACCTAATAATACTATCTTGTCTTTGTAACAGGCAAATAATTGTTAGCAATTAACTGTTATCTGATAAGTAACTGTTTATCCATGCACAAACCGAGAAATGTAAATAGTTACAGGTGTAAAGCTGAACTCAAAATACATCAATATTCACAAGACAAGCTGTGTGTCAGCTGATGTAACAAATCATCGAATGTAAAAATGTTTACGGATAAAGTATGTTAATGAACAATAATCTTTTGAAGCATATAATATTTCATGATTAACATTATTCTATTATGTTATGATTAAATTTAAGCAATCAAGCGTGGCAGCTCTAGATTAATATATTGCAACGCTCGATTAAAATATTAAAAAGATATACGTTTTGCATTTATTTACATACCTGATACGACGAGAGCTTCATTTGGACCACAAGTGTGAACGTTTCCCATTGTCAAGCTTTATCTCGACGACGATGCAACAACAAACCGGCACAAACAATCCACACTAACACGGTTTTATCACTAACACACTTATCTGTACAAGAAATCGGCAGTGATAATATATACGGATTATTTTAAAAACCCCGGTAAATCATTAATTACATGCAATAACCCGTGTTCGTCGCGCGTCGTAAGGTTACGATGTCACTCAAAGCCACTACCCAAAATTATTTGTAGCTTTTGCAAAACCCTAGCTTGCGACGCTACCAACCTACCAAATATAATCCGCAGCAACATCTTCAAAATAAATGACTTTTTCATGCTACATATTTCCTGTTACGTTTCATTTACATCATAAAAATAAATTAAACATTTTTGTACGATAAGAAATTAAATAAAATACGTTTAAACAAGAAAATAAAAGGCGTACTTATGTCACGTTTGAAATGCGTTATTTTTATGTTGGTATCACGGTACCTTTTTTCTTATCCTTTATTTTTTGCCTTTTATGTAAAATCATTCTTTGAAACTGAAATACTAATTGAAAGAAATTATTTAGCTTAGATGTTTCATTCTCTTGATTGAAACATGTAAAATATTCAATGAAATTTGTTAGTAAAATATTAGAATGCTAATGGTAGCACTGTATAGACGTTGCCAACTGAGCAGAGTTTAATTTGATGGGAATGCAACGCAACATAACCTTTAATATTTGATAGTCCTGTTATTGTTTAGGTTTATTCATAAATATCATATATAATATATTTTATTTTATATACGGTATTATTACATATTGACATAATGTCGGAAGACGAAGTAGAAAGCTTTGAGATTACAGATTACGATCTTGAAAATGAATTCAACATTAATCGTCCTAGACGGAAATTGTCAAAGAAGCAACAAATGCTTGGTAAACATTTTATTTTACCTGCTTAATGGGTTTAAGGAAGTGTTCTGTTTCTGCTCTTGTATGGATATTAACCAAAGCTGGTTTGTTTCAGGCATTTGGGCTGATGACAGTGACGAGGATGAACTATCTGCTAGACCATCAATGGGTTTCAAAAGTTCTAGTAAAGGACCAAAAAATTATACTGCTCCTGTAAATTTTGTAGCAGGAGGTATTCAGCAGAGTGGAAAGCCAAAGGAGGAAACAGAAGAAAAGGATGAGAATGAAAGTGATAATGAAAGTGAAGGCAAATCACAGAAAGAATTTCCAAACAGTTCAAGGTAATGTAATACATTTCAAACAAGTTGTTTGAATCTTTATATGGAAATAATAATAATTACATTATTTTTCTTTTATAGTTCTGAAGATGAAAGACCAAGTAGCGTTCATCAGCATCCATCTTTTTCATTAAATATAGATGGAGATATTGCAGGTTTACGTAAAAAGAAACATAAAGTAAATCCATTGTTAATGCACAGTGGAATGGGTAGTTGGGAAGTCCATACAAAAGGCATTGGAGCTAAACTGTTATTGCAGGTACATATGGAATATCACTTAATTGACTGATGTAGATATAATTATGTGTTTATACTTATCAATTTATTCATGTTTCAGATGGGCTTTGAACCTGGAAAAGGATTGGGTAAACAGTTACAAGGTATAAGTGCACCAGTAGAAGCACATTTGAGAAAAGGTAGAGGTGCAATTGGTGCTTATGGACCAGAAAAGGGTCCAAAAATTCCTGAAAAGAAAAAAGAGGAGGAGACGGACGACGGAAAAGAATCAAAAGCTAAATTATCACAATGGCGGAAAGGAGATGGAAATGCCGCTAAGAAGAAAGTAAAATATGTTTATCGGAGCGTTGATCAGGTTATAGAAGATGGAAAATTGAAACCAAATAAAAAAGTGAGAATTTCTAATGAGATGAGTAGGGTCAAAGTCATAGATATGACTGGTCCAGAACAAAGAATTCTCAGTGGATATCACGCGATAGCTGGTGGCCAACAACGACCCGATGAGAATATTGTCGTTGCTGATAAGAAATCTAAGGTCAACTTCGCGTTGCCAGAACTTCAGCACAACTTAAATCTCCTTGTAGACATGTGCGAACAGGATATCATACAAAATGATAGAAGAACAAGGCATCTGAGCGACAGAGTGATTGCACTAGAGGCGGAAAAGAAAAATCTATCCAAAGTCGTAAATCAACACGACCACCTTATCGACACTTTAGAAAACGTTCTCGCGATCGTAGACAGACTGATGGATGAAACAAACCAATTGTCATTGCAAGAAACTGCAGAAGCTTTCAAAGATTTGCAAGATAAATATTACGAAGAGTATAAAATGTACGAACTCGGTGAATTAGCTAGCAGTTTTGTTGGGCCGAAAATAAAGGACTGTCTAATTAGTTGGAATCCATTGATACAACCAAAACAACCCATTAAATTATTTGAACAATGGAAGTCTATTTTGGAAAGTGGCATTACTACTCTTCAAACAAGAACTATGCATCCGTATGACCACCTTGTTTGGAATTCTTGGATGCCGTCAATCAGAGGAGCTATACAGTACGTGTTTCATTTAAAAGTTAATAAAAAAGTATTGATATAACGTTATCTCAATTTTTATTGATATTTATTTCAGACAGTGGACATGTAGGGAGCCAGTACCTCTCATTGAATTAATAGAATATTGGATGCCGTTGCTTCCGGTCTGGATATTAGAAAATATTTTAGATTTATTAATTCTTCCTAAGCTTACTCTGGAAGTAGAAGAATGGAATCCTCTTACTGACACAGTACCTATTCACACATGGATTCATCCGTGGCTACCGTTATTACGTTAGTATAGTTTCAAACAGTTATTATTAATCATGAAATTTTATATATGAATCGATAATACTTATATTGTATTACAGGAAGTCGCTTGGATACTTCAATATATCCAATAATACGACGTAAATTAGGATCGGCGTTAGGAGGCTGGCATCCGTCCGACAGATCTGCTAGATTAATGTTACAACCATGGTCTAAAGTTTTCGCGAAAGGAGACATGGAGGCTTTCTTAGTGAAAAATATTATACCAAAGTTGCAGATAGCATTGTCAGAGTTTGTTATAAATCCACATCAGCAACATTTGGATCAATGGAACTGGGTGTACGAATGGAAAGAATTGATTCCATCTCATATAATGGCAGGATTATTGGATAAATTCTTCTTCCCAAAATGGTTACAAGTTCTGGCGCTTTGGTTGAATCATTCCCCTAATTATGATCAAGTTACAAACTGGTACATGGGATGGAAAGGCATGTTAAGCGAAAAAATGTTAGGTGAACCATTAGTGAAAGGTAAGTGCGTGATATAAATTCGATCTGCATTGTCGAACTTTCGGTATGTATATTTGTTAATTTACAGAACACTTTAAGAAAGCATTGGATATGATGAATAGAGCAGTTTCCACACCACAGAGTCATCAACCAGGTGCGATGGAGCAAGTTTCGTATTTAACGAGCTTAGAAAGGACTCAACCTACCATGTCACAAATGCCACCGACCGCACAGCCAAGAATGGAAGTACGTTTATTCGCTAAATTTATGCAACTATTTCTTTCATAACCCGCCGTTTCGACGGTGTTTGTAATAAAATATATTTTTCATTTTCAGAGACTCGCCGAAGCGGTACGAACAGCGTCGCAAATACCTCAAGGTTTCAAGGACCTTGTTCAAAAGAAATGCGAAGAAAGAGGTATTCTGTTTATGCCTATTCCGAATCGGTATAGGGAAGCAAAACAAGTTTATAAAGTGGGCAATGTCCAAGCTTATATAGACGGAAACGTCTTATTCGTCTGTCACAACGGTATGAATTGGGTGCCAACGCATTTGAACGCTTTATTGGACATGTCTGAACTTTAACTGTAACAATCCTAATTCATAATGTAAGTTCAATTACGTGTAATTTATCTTGTACATATATTGTAAAATAGTCTGATGACAAAAGTGAAGTTGAAAAATTTGTATAAAGTGCATGGTATATAAAGGTTATTGTCTTTTGTACAATTTGTATTGTATGATATTTTATTGTTAATTAACTCTTAAGAAGAGAATCAATACCTATCATTCTCGTATAAACCTTTTACCCTTTATTTCTGTATACACAGCCTTGCTTCACGCATTATATTTGCTGTGTATATCGTAACGCTTCATCTGAAGCTCTCTAACGTGTTTCGTGCTATACAGAGAACATCTCTTTCCTTCGACGATACTCCTGGCATTCACGTTTCACGAATGCAGTCTCGGTTTCACGGATGTTTGTCTTATTGACCACTTCTGTTCGAAGCGGTCGAAGTCGAACGCGTGTAGGCGCCCCTGGTTATCCCACTACCGAGACACAGCTATAAAACTCCTCGATATGGAAAGTTGTACGTGATCCTGCGGAGTCGTACGTATGTACCTACAGAGTCGCCCAATAGGCACCGTGTATCAACCACCACGATGTCTGTTGGTCCTGTGTATCGGCCATGGGCGTCATCATGCGCGAGCTCCCATCGGAGCATCTTATCAACCTCGTTGTACCGATTTCGAGACCAAAAATTAATTCTATGGAAATATAATGTTACAGAAATATCTGAGAGACGTATCGTGATTACAATAATTGTAATCAATGATGGATCTTTACTAAAGGGGAAGAGGCAGGCGCACTAGATTCTACATCAAGAGGATCCTTCAAATTTTCATGAATCGAAATTAGGAATAGTTAATTTTTTATTCCCCAAATTGAATCTAAGGATTCTGGACTTATTAAATTTTGTTAAAACATATTTGCACTTTGCAGATCACCGATGTGACTATTAACAGCCTTTCCTTTAACGACTACACATTTTATAGAAGCAATTAGGATATTCAACGATTCCTTCCTTATAAGAAAACAAGGAGCTATTTTTGCATTCCTTCGTCGAACGAGTGAGATACTAGCTGACGCCTATGGCACCCATACCAACGACACCACGTCTGGTAGAAGTGGTGGACTGGTCCTGTAAGAGGATGGACATCTCTCGCCTACACGCCTAGCAGATCTCTACTCTCGGGTGTCGAGAAAATTTGCATCGTATCCGAGTGTGTCTGCCTAGTAACTGGCTGCCTTTACTGCACAGACCTGGGATTCGAGACGGTCTCTGCACTCTCTCTCTCTTTCTCCGTTTTTCTTTTGCACGAACGAAAGTGTGCATGCAATATGCATACACACGAGGAGAGCACTTGTCGAACCCGACCAGATCTTTAACGTCTATCGCATTCTGAGACAGT